ACATATTTGAGGCCAAGCTGCAGACACTTGCGTAATATTTATTTATTCATTTTCAACTACGTCTTTCTGTATTGATCTTGAGATAAAAAAAACCCCCGGGTCTCCCACATCCTCTCAACCAGTACAGTTTTGAATAAAAACTTATGTAGTGTCGATGAGACCTCAGACGTGACGATCCGGGTTAGATTTGATTCTAAGAGGCCACAAAATAGATCGGGTGGCCAGGTTAGCTGACTTAGTTGACACATGTCACCGTATCCCAATTTCTCAGATCGATGTTCATAATATCAATCACATGGTTCCTAGTTTGGTGATCTACCTTCAGTTGTAGGCGATCTATAGCGCGTGTTTTATATTGTATTGTCTTCTTTAATTGGAATGTTTTAGCTTTGTTCGCTAGTTTTATATATCTGTGATTATCTAGTATTTTTACTGTCCATCTTCGACAGGTTTTAATCTTCAAAATATTTTCACTTTTTATTGTATAAATTGATTTCGTCACGATATGGCTGAGATATTGCCGATGTGAAGTTAAATATTAACTCACTCACTCACTCATGATATCAATTACATTAATCTTAAGATGCCACGAAAGGGATCGAGTGGTCAGGCCAGCTGACTTGGGTGACACATGCCATCGTAACCCAGGCTCTTAGATCGATGGTTATGATGTCGGTCACAAATCTGTGTGGCCTTGATTCAGTTAATTACAGACTTCCGACAAATAGCTGGAATATTGCTGAGTGCAATTCAATAAACAAATGACGACGATCTTGGTGACTATCAAACAGATTGAAGGTCATACTGATAAGAGAAAACTGGTGTCTGCAGAGATGTCTTCGGATAAGAATAGTAAACGCGGTTCCACAGAAGGCACTTTCCCGTAAACAGTAAACAAATCGTGTAAATATGTTGATAACTGGCGTCACATAATGACTGTGATTATAAGAACTACGTAACATGACTAATGAAACAATCTAAACAAAGCATTAGTTAAAATAAGGGTAGTCTTACATTTTCAAACCTCTACAGATGCGAGTCTCATTAGACGTCTTACTTGACGTTAACAATATCATATTTTAAATCTAGTAAAGGCTCGCGTGATCTTAAGACTCATTACATATAGGTACACATTAAATCTTCAAAAATAGAAAAGGTTAGACATACATAATGCATCTGATAAAGGCTAGTGTGATTCAACATATAGGTATACATTAAATCTTCAAAAATAGAAAAGGTTAGACATACATAATACATCTGATACAGGCTAGTGTGATTCAACATATAGGTATACATTAAATCTTCAAAAATTGATAAGGGTGGATATAAATATCTTAAATCTGATAAAGGCTACGGCGATCTTAGGACTTATTGCAAGTCAGTAGACTGTATGTCTTTACACATAAAGAAGGTTAGACATCAGGTAAATCAGATAAACGCTAGTTTGATCTTACGTTTCATTACATAGAGGTACACATTAAATCGTCAAAAATACAAAAAGGTTTGATATAAATATCTTGAATCTGATAACAACTACGGCGATCTTCGGACTCATTACACGTCAGGAGACTTCAAATCTTAAAAAGGAAAAAAACAGAGAAGTTTGGACACATATATCTTAAATCCGATAAAGACTATGGCGATCTTAGGACTTGTTACAAGCCAGTAGACTGTACAAATAGAGGAGGCTGGTTAAATATATTTCTTGAAACTAACAAATGCTACGGCGATCTTTACACTCATTACATGCATGTAAGCATGAAATCTTCAAAAATAGAGAAGGTTGGTTCTAAACTCACGGGCGAAAGTAACGTCACCTTGCTTTTTTAACATGTCACAAAACAACAAACTTAGATTTTGGAAATTTAACAATCATATTTGGAAAATTAATGGATTTACAACATCATGAATGATGAAAGTGTGAAATACAGATATGAATAATCACTTAGTATACGATAAAAGATAAAATAAATCATTTTGGTGACGTTTCTTTCTCCAGTAAGTTTATATCTGTGAATCGTGTGATGAACAGGTACCACCATGCAATATCTGAGTATACCCAAGAAACAGTACAAATACATAATCATCATAGCGACGTCGTCCCTTTTCCATGAGGGCTGCTTGTCCTACTAGCTGCAGAAGCCCATCATGTCTGTCGTTGAGCTGTTCGGCCAGGGTTTTGCCAGGAGTCCAGAAAGGTAGCCGTTGTTAGTTAGTTAGTTATGTTAGTATTTTATGTTTTTTATATACCACAAAACTCATATTGGCTGTTAGAATTCTGAAAGAAGATGAGTCGCTTGGTGTTATCTATTTCGTTATTGCGAAAATCCGATATGACGTAATCAAGTGTCTTACTTTTACCTCATGTAAAGAAAAGGTTACCTTGAATAAAGTTTTCTGTAGGATTATACTAAACATTATAACATTAAAACATGACGGTTCGTTTTTTCTTTGCTCATGTCAATGATTAGATAATGGTCTGAACAGTAGAACGGGGACACTTTACTTTCGTGGAAAATGTTGCATGCACAGTAAAACAATATATAGAATGTTGCTTTCACAGTAAAACAATATATAGAATGTTGCTTTCACAGTAAAACAATATATAGAATGTTACTTTCGAAATATAAAGTAACTACCGATCAACATGTACCCACCTACTGTTTGAGGTATTTCAGCCACAAGGAGTGCTATCAATTATTTTACAGAGGAGATATGTGAACGAAAACAGGTTAAGATGCTTTGACAACACAATGAGGAAAGTGTCAAATGGATTGTAGAAACATGCCTTATAACAATGATTATAACCTTGATATAACATCCGATCCACAAGCCATGCCAATTTGAAAAAAGAAGAAGTTATAACCATGACGCTCCATTTATTTTGTCAGCAGTGCACTTAAGGTTGACAAATGGAAACCAGTCGTTAATGCATAAAGGGGTATCACCAAACACTTGGCATTTATGCCAACAAGTCTACCGTATAACACTAAAAACAGAACAACAACAACAACAACAACAACAACAACAACAAAAAAAACCCAAAACAGCAACCCCATAAAACAGGCTGTTGGGATCGCCTCAAAGACAAAAATCCGGGGCGGAAAATGATGGGGACATCTTAAGGTGGATCAGGCTTTCAATCTACAGTTTTTATGAGTAGAATTTAACCCCGAGTTGTCGCAGAATACTGGAGGCAATCAAATGCTGATTAACGTTTACGGGACTATATGAATCACCATGTCACGGGATTACGATAGATTTCACATGGCAATGATCAAGCAGTTTTCTGAGAAAATAGTCCATCTGGTCAGAGGTCACATTATCTGCGTACCATTCCTGACTATCGCCGTTCAGGCTTCCAGATCACATATATTGTACCTTGTTGAACCCGGGGTGAATTCATTCAGCTGACTACATGGGGCTATCGTCAGATTGACGAAATGTATCATTAGGTGAAGGTAATCGTGTCACTGTTTTGATTTGGGATTATTGACTGATATGACTCAGGTCACCTCACTCCACCTATGGTCTGTAAATAATCGAGTCTGGACCAGACAGTTAAGTGATTAACACCATGGAGATCGATCTACGCAATTGGGATACGATGGTCACGCGTCAACCAAGCTGCTTGACAGTTTACAGTTGCTTCACAGTTTACGTGCATCACGCTAATGCTCAATTGGGATACGATGACATGTGTCAACCACATGCGAGCCTGACCACCCGATCCCGTTTGTCGCCTCTTACGACAAATATGGGTTGCTGAAGTTCAAATCGAACCTGGATCATCACGGGTTGTTTGTCATAAGAATACGAATGGTGAAGTATGCAAAAAATGGAATATCAGCTACTGTCCCAGTATCATCGTCATCAAAAACACAAATTATCATAGCTTTCGGGATCCAGATGTTGTCACTCCAAACATACGCAGTCTGAGGCGATCTTACAGAAATATCTAACATCTTGCAAAGTTGACTTACAACGTCGACCATCTAAAACAAATGTTCAACCGTTTGAGAAAAATAGACAACAGTAAAGTAGAAGGGAGGTGTCCTTGCAGCACTCCACGGTCACGATGTCTTACTACACCATGCACAAATTGTGATCTCAGTCCTACTGAGCATATCTGGGCTTTGTGGCAAGACATAACACCATTCCAATCCATACGTCAAAGGGATGATCATTGCAGCATTTCCTGGAATCACGTGCACAGCTGGGGCATGGCAAACAGTGAAGATCACATCATTGAAAAAGTAAGTTATTATCTCCCACGCGACGGTGTGGACATAAACTTCATTACACCAAATGTCTGAGTGATAGTCAGATCTTGGCAAATCACCGTTTCAGAGCTTTTTACTATTCCAGTTTTTCAAGCACATATAACCAGTGTAATCTCAATTGCTATCAACGAGAAGGCATATTACAGTAAAGACATTTGCACCTGTGATCATTCGTGACATAATTATAAGAGTGTCGTGAAGTCAACATGACGGCTTCCATATCCTATTAGATTAGGTAATAAATTATGACTTAACTGCGAACGAATTGGTACTGTCTCTACTAATATCCATTCGAAAATATGACGAGCTGGAGTTAAGAGTCGGCGCTAAAATGTTTGGAAAGATATTTATACCAGGAGATCTTAATTTCACTCTGTTTGGATAATGCAATGCTTAGCCGAGGTAAAGTAATGCCTCGTGTCCCTTGTCAGAGGTGAGTACTTGTATTCAGTTGTATATCCAGGATTGTTTAAAAGGGTACCCCATCCTTCTATGCTTCTACCGAACACACACCCCTCACCCCCCATAAAAGATTAAATAAAAACAACAACAATGTCACCCCCCAAAAAAACACACCAAAACAACAACAACAAAAAACAAAACAAGTAAAAAACCCAAACAAATCAAAAGCGAACAACAACACACAACAAATAGAAAAAAAGAGTAACAAATGGTAAACATGGTTAACAAAATATACAAACAAAACAAAACAAGCTCTTTTGACTGCCAAATAATATTTATTGTGAAGTGACATTTCTCCAAATCATCTGAGAAGAAATTTAATACTGTATCATCTTGACGGACCTGATCTTCATGGCGACGTCTTCACCATGCCAAGTAGACTGCCATTGGTGCTTGTTCTTCCAGAAGTCCATCATAGCAGTGTGAGAGCTGTCCCTCCATGGCTTACCGTTAGCATTATGATACGAATCAGAGAAATAGCCATCCGTGGCACCCACAGCAACGTTCAAGATAAGACTCATCTAAAAACGTAACATAACCTTCAATGTCCAATGATTATCGATTTTTTTTAAAAGAAAGGGGTTTTATGATGGTTAAATGACTGAACTGAATACTTTCACTCAAGCTCAAACTGTTAGTATTATGTCAATAAGCAAAGGACCGTTTCGTTTTAAATGAGAAACATACCGGTCCATCAAAAGGGGCGTTTTTACCACCTTTCGCCCAGGGATTGGTGCCAGAGAGATGACTGTATGAATAGAATCCGTTGGAAGGAGTCGGCATGACCTCCAGTGGATGATGATCTATTTCAGTCCTGATTGAAGAGACAATAGAATTCTTGTTAAAAAGGACATATAAGGCCTATATTTAAAACAGTTTTTTTCTGTCCTAAAACAAGATACCTTATTTTGAAAAGTGAAAGTAATAAGCGATTGTTGTGTGGCCTATAAATTCGTTATTTATTGTGAATGAATGAAAGTTTGTAAACTAAGATTTAGAAAAAGTTACAGTCACACTAAAAAAGTAAAATTTGAAAATGCAGTACAAGTTGCTTTACAAACAAAACAAACAGATTTTAGCTGTGATTATCAGTATTCGGCAAGGAGAATACAATAAACTCAAAATCATAAAAGATTTATTCCAAAATCTTATTAATGTGGTCTTTTTCAGTTTTTGGCAATTAGCAGTCTGAATTGTTGGAAAAAGGTCTGAATCTTTGACATTCAGGTTCTTCCTGATTATACATAATTAAAGTTTATTTGATGTGTAAATGTCATCTTGGTATATAACAGAATCGTTATTTTTAGTCAAAACTTAATTTAATTGTGTAGTTTGAGCAGGAGAGGAATAGTTTCATAAAGAATAGAAAAGGTTATGGTATTTGTAAAACTGTCAATAGATAAAGCTTCTTTAACTATAGGTTCTTTTAATAGATGGCTATACCCTAACTTTTCTGTAGCATCACATCTTATTTTCAAAATAAGGTGGTGCTTAATTAATGCACGAGTGTATATATTGAACGCAGTCAACTGTACAATGTCGTTTACAGTTTACATAATGTTTCACAGACATTCATGCCAGATATAGACGTTCCTTGTCTTCTTATCTCTGGAGGATTAGTCTTTCTTCCAACTCACCTTATGTGGTCTGCGGTCCAGTCAATGGCGTAAGTGTGGAAGCCATCCCCCCATGAGCCCGTCCTGCAGCAGATCAAATATCACCGTCATAGCAACGGGAGGACACAGACATAACGTATGGTACTTCCTCTGATGACTAAGTTGGAAACCATTGGAATCAATCTCAACCATTTCGTGGTTTGGTTGAGTAAGTTACATTGCTTCACGGTACACTGGACAGTTCCATATTAAAGAAAAGCTCTACATGTCGCGGCTCTTAAACATTTACCACGAGGATGAGGATGTTGATGAGGATGAGGATGCTGATGACGACGAAGATGGGGGTATTGATGAGGATGAGGGTTTTGATGATGACCAGAATGATGACGGGGATGCTGCTGATCAACTAAGCATCATACTCAGATTGAACCTGATGCTTAAACTCTCGATCAGTGGCTGTCCTCAGGGTGGTTCAGTTTCAATAGGGAACAGGATCACAGATTAAATTCAAACCATATATATGTTCCAAAATCATAAGAGATATAAGCTTAAAGCAGTGTCCTTTGTCCGATTCAGACTACGAGTAAATGAATGAGTGAGTGAGTTTGGTTTTACGCATCTTTTTGCAATATTCCAGCAATATCACGGCGCGGGACACCACACGTGGGCTTCAACGAGTAAAAGAAAGCATATACAAACATTGCAGGGTATAGAAACTACAGTTATAACGAACTCGTTATAACCATAGTTCGTTATACGGAGTTCGTCCATAATATACAGCAGCTGGCCAGGACAAAAAATACAGTACGTAATATCGGCCAGTTCGTCATAAACGTAGTTTATTGAATACCCTATTTGCAGTTGGATATTTGTAAGTATGTGTCTTCATGACCGTCATTATGTGACGTGTATCACGTCCTGTTTACGATGACAAGTTTAAGTTAGCTGGTGACAAGGTTCGTGTAGTGACCTGACGAAAAAGTATTGTCAGGCACAACATTGATAAGACGCAGTACAACTAACGCTGAATGAGACTGTTGTCGATGTTGACTTGAAGTGCCCCAGTGGAGGGTGGAGAACGCCACGTGGACGCCTCGGTCGTGTCCTCCTGAGTCCTTCAGATTAACGTTTCCTGTAAATTGAAAAGAGTGAGTGTGTGTTGTGCGTTTATGTTTGCACGTTTCGGTGCAGCTGGAACTTTCGAAACTACTTTAGTAACCGTCAGTATCAGGTTATTACGGTTATACAATTTTAGAATTTTATCAGTATTAGGTTAATCCTGCCTCTCATGCGGAAGTACAGCGATTTAGTGTCAGAGAGAGAAATCATACTTCATACCTCTTGATTCCATTATGTCTATTTCACCGGAAATTGGCCATCCACCATACTTCCAAGGTCTTGTAGGTGGAAGCATCCAAATGGCTTTGAAGGGAATTCAGGAGTTAAATAAGGTTAATTGATGTCTTGTTATTTTTGTAGATTAAATACAATACATGACATAAACAAATCGGTTGGCTATATGTATGAGCGAAAATAGTTTTGCTGGTGAAAACCGCAACTGATTACTAGTATGGATTTAACACTTAGATTCAGCAGTTGATGTTCATTTAAGAGTCCATGGAAAATTTTCATTATGTCACTTGGTAGGAAAATACTTATAGTGAACATTCGAGTCATAGTCACCTGGCCATAACCAATCTCCTTTAGGTAACTGTGCAACGACTTCTATTCTTCCGTAGGTGATGGAAGCCTTGGAATAGAGTTTAGATGACATGATAGGTGGGATTTCATTCTTCGATCCCAGACGGTGGCATCCGTTGTCACTGTAGTATGTGCACGATCCCCATTGCTCTGGAAATCAGATAATTCTGAGACATGCAATGACATGCGATGACAGACTGCAAATGCATCCTATTCCTGTTTACACTTTGTTCAACACTTTGTTCAACATTGACAGCCAGCTCTAAACTTTACTTAAGTTTAAGATACTTTGACAATGTGCTTTTGAGATTTCATACTTTGATCCCAGATGGTGGCATCCATTGTCACTGTATGTGCACGTTCCCCATTGCACTGGAAAACAGGAATTTCTGGCTCATGCAGTGACATAACAATGATCAATGGCCTGCATCCTCTCCTGTCTACTAAATGTATACATGTTTAAATTTTAACAGCCAGCTCTAAACGTTACTGAATCTTTAGGTAATTTGCAATTTTGCTTGTGTTACGTATTGAAGAAGGAACACTATTCGTGACGGTCGAGTTTTTCTAGGTTATTGTATCGTGACGTCCTTAAGACATTGTTGGTGCACAACCATATGTAGATCACACATATTTGATGTCACATACTACGTACAGAGTGTACAACTTATCTGTAGTTCTTCCTCCCCTGTATCTTGTATTACATATATGAAGATACAGAGACATATGTGTATTGGAGAAGAAATCCTTTCTTAACGGTCAATGTTTTCTACTTATCTATCCGAGACCTTTACCCTCTAATCATGTCAAATGCTATCGGTAGGTTCATGTCTGTCTACTGTTGCCGAGAACATCTGTCTTATCAGTGTAACCTTAGTCCATTTCGTGTGTGCAGGATCTTGAAATGTCAAATTTAAGTTGATACGTTTACTTTCGTGACAATGCAAATACTGACCGTGCGCTGACACTGGTATTATACATGGAGATCGCACTCACATGACATATGTTCACATATTTTATTTCAAGATATCTTGCTTTCCTTGATGAAATCAACTGAAACTTACTTCTGACATCCAAATCTCCGTGATTAAGGAAGTTTTCTCCGAACTTGTCTGCCGTAAGCGTCTGAACACAACAAGTAAGCCATGTGTGAGTGGGTATGGTTTTACTCTGTTTTAAGAAATATCAGCAATATCGCTTCGAAAAAAAGATCCACACCTTGTACCCGAGCAAGTCGGAGTCTTTGAAGACACAACGGAGACTTTTGAGTGACTTGCGAACTCTTCAATCACCTCTAGTATCTGCATATCAGCAGAGGAGAACTGACATTCAACTACTGTCCCTGATATTCAAGCACTGCCCGTTATATCTATAAACGTGTATTTATAACAGTTATAACATACTATAACTGAATTAACCAAACAAGGTTAATTTCTTCTTTTACATCTATAACGAAGACAATTCATATACATGAGTGAGTGAGTTTAATTTTAACACCACACTCTATGGCGGCGGTCTGTAAATAATCAAGTCTGGACCAGACAATCCCGTGATTGACAGCATAAACATCGATCTACGCATGTGTCAACCAAGTCAGAAAACCTGACCACCCGATCGCATTAGTCGCCTCTTACGACAAGCATGGATTACTTAAGATCAATTCTAACCCGGATCTTCACGGGGTTTATGAATGAGATCAGTACCGGTTTGAGGTAGAGGACGCCATTCTTTATGTAGGTGTTGGCAGATTCCGGTGTGTACATCTGGAACTGACCACCCTGATAAAAAGGTAATAAGTGTAAGTGCAAGGATTATTTCTTATTAATTGCACATGAATGGACATATATTTTGCAATTGTCAAAATAACTTCTTCCAACACGCATATTTGAGTCCGACGCTAGTTCATTGCAAAAAGGTTATTATGAGAGATAATAAAAATCAGATATAAGTTGAAGAACAGTCACACGCGTTTAGAACGAAAGCCCCTAATCGTCCGAGTATTCGACAGAAGCCCACCATTAGCTTCCAACTAATGTTTTCAAATAAAGTTCATCCACTGATTGTCCTGCAAGAGATCCCTTGGTTTTGCCATACTCAATTATGATCGTTAGTAGCCGTAGGTAGAAAGCAATCTGTTCAAAGTGAGTGAGTGAGTTTAGTTTTACGCCGCACTCAGCAATATTCCAGCTGTATGGCGTCGGTCTGTAAATAATCGAGTCTAGACCAGACAATCCAGTGATCAACATCATGAACATCGATCTACGCAATTGGGAACCGATGACATGTGTCAACCAAGTCAGCGAGTCTGACCACCCGATCCCGTTAGTGGGCTCTTACGACAAGCATGGGATACTGAAGATCAATTCTAACCCGGATATTCACGGGTCATCTGTTCAAAGACGACACCTATGACGTACACATTCTTTTTGAGGATGTGATGTGGAATGCATATAACCACATCGAAAAAAGCTCTCATGGCTCCTTTTGACTTGTAAACAATACACTGCACATGTGCACACCGGTTGGACATTAAATTATATCGTAACCTGAATAGGACTATTCATTAAGATTGACATGGTCAATTAAAGACCGCCTGCGTGGTGTAGTGGTTAGAGCGTCCGCCCGGAGAGCGGAAGGTCGCGGGTTCGATCCCCGACCGCGTCATACCCAAAAACGTTAAAATATGGTACTTGTTGGTCCCTGCCTGGCGCTCGGCATTAATGGGTACAACCAAGGACTGGTCGGCTCGGCGTCAGTATAATGTGTCTGAGTGGGGTATTCATGCTTCACTGCGGCATGGTACCTCAGTGGGCTAGCACTATAAAACCAGCTTCAGTCTGGGCCAGTACAAGCAGCCGCACATACACATACACACGCATGCACGTCGTCATATGAGCGAAATATTCTCAAGCACGATGTAAAACCCAATTTCACCTCACCTCACCTCATCAATTAGAAGCGACAAAACCCTTTCCACGCCCGTAATAAGTCTCTGCTAAAAGCAGAGTCGATTGTACAATTGTGACTATATCATGAGTATATATTTGTTTGAGCTGTATTTCAACTGTACGATGTTGTTTGTAAACAAATCGAGTCTGGATCAGACAACCCGGTGATTGTAACCATGTGAACCGCAACCACGAAACAGACCATCGTGCAAAAGTAATTGACTTTTCAGACCATATCCTACACATATACGTGTATTTGTTCGATATATACTACAAACAAAAAAATATGGGAACACATACTTCACCACGTTTAGGTTTATATATGACCATCAAATTTTAGGATGTTCCCATTTGTTTGTAGTATATTTCCTTATCTCGCATATGGATACTTTCCTACCAAAGTGAATGTAAAAGTGATTCTCACCCCTCCTCCCCAACAAGTGATTTCATGCTTCCATTTGCTGCTGTCAAGATGGCTTGAATGGAAGTCGTCATACATCACGGTATGGCTACGCCTGTAGAGTCGTGGACTAAGAGATGAGGCAGCTGGAAGATGACAAACATCTGATGTGATTGTTTGTTTGGGTTTATTTTGGGTTTTTTTCTTGTTTAATGTTTAATGCCGCACTTAGCAATAAGCCAGCTACATGGCAGCAGTCTGTAGTTAATCGAGTCTGGACCAAGCAATCCAGTGACCAACATCATGAACATCGATCTACGCTATTAGGATACAATGCTGTTCATTAACCATGTCAGCCTGACCCCATGAATCGCCTCTTAGGACAAGCGTGGGTTGCTGATAACAAATTCTGATGTGGATCTTGAAGATCTAATGAATACATGAAGTATAGTTTAGATGTTACTCAACTCAAAATGAAAGTTTTGGAACTGAAAATTTTCACTGACATTTCACAGTCATTGTATTTTGTTACTTGACAAATGCTTTATCAAGCGGGTCATTTAACAAGAAAATTCAGCAAAGGATATACATCTCCTACCAAACGACTTACCGGGAATTGTATACGTATCCTCAAGGTGGAACACAACATGGCCAGTTGCAAACAGATATTTTACTGCATACTCAAGCACTTTCTTCCCAGTAAATGCTTCCCCAGTTGGAACATTGTAAGTGAACGATCCATGAGCTGAAACAGGTTTGAACACTTACAGAAGGATATCCTGTAGGAAACGTCACATATGGTTTGCATAATATGTGCCAAGTGATTTCCTGCAGCATACTGTCATTCAATGATTTCAAGAAAATTCAGCCAATGAGGGAGCCGAAGGTACAGTAACATATTTATATTTTCTTCAATGATCCCCTGGGAGCAAACAGTCACTGAATGTCAAACTGGAGAAAACAGTCAATGGGTGATCTCCTAGATGACCTCCAAACAGCAAATATCATTTCCTGCGGGAAGGTCAATGGGTGATCTCCAGTAGAACATGGATCATGAGCAGTCAGGGAATGGTCTGCTGTGTCAAAGAGTCGATTGGTGATTTACTACGTCAAACAGACAATGGATGATCTCCTAGATGATCTCCTAGATGATCCAAACAGCCATGACATCATTTGTTAGGGTAAGTCAATGGAAGATTTCCAGGTGCACACACTGCATTTTGGATTATCAAGAGCAATAATTGAATGTAGTCTATCTACCTGAGCAAACAGTCATTGGATGATCTAGTGGGTCAAACAGTAAATGGATGATCTCCTAGATGACGATCAAACATTCATGACATCATTTTGTATGACTGCAAACAGGCAATGGATGATCTCCTAGATGGTCTTCAAACATTCATGACATGATTTATATCACTGCAAACAGGCAATGGATGATCTCCTAAACCTTCAAGCCGCCATGGGAAAAGTCATGATTTTCTGCAAACAGTCAATGGATAATCTCACACTCTACATTTTGGATTATCCAGAACAGGCACTGAATGATCTACTGGAGCAAGCCATTGTCGAATGATCTACTGGATCAAACACGCTATGGTGCTTTACTTGGAGTAATTGCGAAATACCTTGTTATTCAATCTTTGTTCTTATGAATGTAGGCAATTGTAGATGCGAAGTTGTTGTTCTTAATTCACGTGATATATGCCAGGATCTTTCAAAATGTAGATATATGTTTTAGGGGCGTTGCCTGTTTGATCGTCCAACTGGCAGAATTCACCTAATATATACCAGAAGTTCTTTTGTTTCCAGCATTATCACGTGGAATTCTTACCATTTTTATACACCCTCACAGAGTTGGAGGCCTCAGGTAAACTGACATCTTGATCATGAAGGGAGTAGGTCATTGCAACTGTATCAACACCAGGGATCTCTGTCGAAAGAAAGAATATCATGTAGCACTTGTCATTGAGTTTGCTTTGCATAGCTGTTACACAAAGATACATGGACACAATACTGATTTATTATTTGCGTCTCTGACGGATGATTTGCCCATTTCCCCATTTCTGTTGGATAAATATATATTAGTATGAAATATGGTATATATCGTAAATGTCTCAAATTTATTATCAACATATATTCTACACTGTGTACTTGTGTAAGAACTGATTCAGGCTTAATGCTTTATTTCAAATGTAATATAGGTACCCGCCAAGGATGTACTCTGAGTCCGCAGATGTTTACTATATTCATAAATAAACTTGCTCAAATATTGGAGAAAGACGGTGGAAGAGGTGTTTTTATATCAACTCATATTCCTGATGTATTTCTCTATTAATCGCTGATGATGTATCAATTGTATCAGACACTGCTTTACAGCTTCAAAAGAAAATTAATATTGTTGAAAAGTTCTGTGCAGAGACAGGAATGAAAGTCAATCAGAACGAAACCAAAATTATTGATTTTAGAAATGGTGGTCCTCTCCGTTCCTATGAAAAGTGGTTTTTAAACGGTGAACAAATAGAAGTTGTGAACATGTACAGAAGTCGTGGGATTCTGTTCCCCCCTAAACGACCCGTGAAGGTCCGGGTTAGAATTGATCTTCAGTAACGCATGCTTGTCGTAAGAGGCGACTAACAGGATCGAGTGGTCAGGCTCGCTGACTGGGTTGACACATGTCATCGTATCCCAATTGCGTAGATCGATGTTCATGTTGTTGATCCCTGGATTGTCTGGTCCAGACTTGATTATTTACAGACAGCCGTCATATAGCTGGAATATTGCTGAGTGCGGCGTAAAACGAAACCCACTCACTCACTCCTAAACTATAATGGACTACAGCCAAATAATGTGTACTAGCTCAAGCAAGTAAAGCTGTATCTATAATTACCAATCATATTTTGGATGTATTAATCACAATGACATTTTAAAAATATTTGATATCTTCAAACAGCGATTTTATGACTGCTTACTTCAACCTGGCTCTCCTCACTTGACTCGTCATCTCAATGTAAATATTATTTACAATTTAACACGTTCACTGCTTATCACGAGTATACTCATGTTACCAAATGTAACAGAATTTGCCACCACGAGTTATGTCACAGCTACAGCAGTGGTATTTTAAAACAAATTTCACATGTTGGCAAAAAAGCAATCATCTCCTGGCGGTAAGAAAGATTTTGTCTGAAAAATATGATTAATGTTGACGTAGTTAATTGATCCTAATACAGTCTGTCTGTCTGTCTGTCTGTCTGTCTGTATGTATGTATGTGGTGCACATGTAGGTAGGTAGGTAGTATGTATTAGGTAGGTAGGTAGGTTGGTAGCTAGTATGTATTAGGTAGGTAGGTTGGTAGGTGGTATGTATTAGGTAGGTAAGTTGGTAGGTAGTATGTATTAGGTAGGTAGGTGGTAGGTAGTATGTGTGGGTAGGTAGGTGGGTAGTTGTATGTATTAGGTAGTTTGGTGGTGTGTTTATGTGATAGGTATGTATGTTGGTGGGTAGTATGTATTAGGTAGGTAGGTTGGTAGGTAGGTAGTATGAATGAGGTAGGTAGGTTGAAAGGTAGTATGTATTAGGTAGGTAGGTTGGTAGGTAGTATGTATTAGGTAGGTAGGTAGGTAGTATGTATTAGGTAGGTTGGTTGGTAGGTAGTATGTATTAGGTAGGTAGGTTGAAAGGTAGTATGTATTAGGTAGGTAGGTTGGTAGGTAGTATGTATTAGGTAGGTAGGTAGGTAGTATGTATTAGGTAGGTTGGTTGGTAGGTAGTATGTATTAGGTAGGTAGGTTGGTAGGTAGTATGTATTAGGTAGGTAGGTAGGTAGTATGTATTAGGTAGGTTGGTTGGTAGGTAGTATGTATTAGGTAGGTAGGTTGGTAGGTAGAATGTATTAGGTAGGTAGGTTGGTACGTAGTATGTATTAGGTAGGTAGGTAGGTAGGTATTAGGTATATAAGGTAGGTTGGTTGGTAGGTAGTATGTATTAGGTAGGAAGGTAAGTAGGTAGTATGTATTAGGTAGGTTGGTAGGTAGTTTGTATTAGGTAGGTAGGTTGGTAGGTAGTATGTATTAGGTAGGTAGGTTGGTAGGTAGTAAGTATTAGGTAGGTAGGTAGGTAGGTAGTATGTAATAGGTAGGTAGGTTGATAGTAAGTATGTATGAGGTAGGTAGGTAGTTTGTATTAGGTAGGTATGTTGGTAGGTAGTATGCATTAGGTAGAGTAGGTTGGTGGGTAGGTAGTAAGGTAGTATGTATTAAGTAGAGTAGGTTGATGGGTGGTATGTATTAGGTAGGTTGGTGGAGTAGTTTATGTGATAGGTAGGTTGGTGGGTGAGTAGTATGCATTAGGTAGGTGGAGTAGGTGGGTAGGTAGTATGTATCAGGTAGGTAGTAGGTAGGTAGTGTATATAATGTATTAGGTAGGTGGGTAATTAGGTAGTATGTAATAGGTAGGTAGGTTGGTGGAGTGGTATGTGATAGGTAGGTAGGTGGGTGGGTGGTATGTATTAGGTAGGTGGGTATGTTGGTGGGTGGTATGTATTAGGTAGGTGGGTTGGTGGGTAGGTGGTAGTATGGATTAGGTGGAGTAAGGTTGATAGGTGGTATGTATTAGGTAGAGTGGGTTGGTGGAGTAGTATGTATGGTAGGTGGGTAGGTAGGTGGAGTATGTATGATGGGTGGGTTGGTTGGTGGGTGGTATGTGATTAGGTAGAGTGGGTTGGTAGGTGGTATGTATTAGGTAGGTAGGTTGGTGGGTAGTATGTCTTAGGTAGGTAGGTTGGTAGGTGGTATGTATGGTGGGTAGGGTGGTGGGTTAGTGTTGGTGGGTAAGTATGTATAAAGGTAGAGTAGGTTGGTGGGTAGTATGTAGTAGGTAGGTAGGTGGGTGGGTAGTATGTATTTGGTAGGTAGGTGGGTAGGTGAGGGGTAGTATGTATTAGGTAAGTTGGTGGAAGGTTTGTGTGTATTAGGTGGGTATGTTGGTAGGTAGTATGTATTAGGTAGGTATGTTGGTGGTAGTATGTATAAGGGTAGGTAGGTTGGGTAGTATGTATTATTATGTAGGTAGTATGTTGGTGGGTTGGTAGGTATGGTATAGTATAGGTAGGTAGGTTGGTAGGTAGTATGTATTAGGTAGGTAGGTAGTATGTAGTAGGTAGGTAGGTTCGTAGGTGATATGTATTAGGTATGTAGGTAGGTAGTTTGTATTAGGTAGGTATATTGGTAGGTAGTATGTATTAGGTAGATAGGTAGGTAGGTAGTATGTATTAGGTAGATAGGTTGGTAGGTAGGTAGTATGAATTAGGATAGTTAGGTTGATAGGTAGTATGTATTAGGTAGGTTGGTAGGTAGTTTGTATTAGGTAGGTAGGTTGTTAGGTAGTATGTATTAGGTAGGTAGGTTGGTAGGTAGTATGTATTAGGTAGGTAGGTAGTATGTATTAGGTAGGTAGGTGGTAGGTAGTATGTATTAGGTAGGCAGGTAAGTAGGTAGTATGTATTAGGTAGGTTGGTAGGTAGTTTGTATTAGGTAGGTAGGTTGGTAGGCAGTATGTATTAGGTAGGTAGGTTGGTAGATAGTATGTATTAGGTAGGTAGGTTGGTAGGTAGTAGGTATTAGGTAGGTAGGTAGGTTATATAGGTAGTATATGTATTAGGTAGGTGGGTAGTAGTATGTAATAAGTAGGTAGGTTGGTAGGTATTATGTATATGGGGTATGTATGTATGTATGTGTATTAGGTAGGTAGTATGTTGGTGGTAGGTAGTATGTATGTATTGGTAAGATAGGTAGGTAGGTAGTAGTATGTATTATGTAGGTTGGTAGGTAGGTATGTATTAGGTAGGTATTAGTTGGTAGGTGAGTATGTATTAGGTAGGTAGGTTATGTAGGTAGTGGTATGTATTGTGTAGAGTAGGTTGGTAGGTAGTATGTATTAGGTAGGTAGGTAGGTATGTATTAGGCAGTATGTATTAGGTAGGTAGGTTAGTAGGTAGTATGTATTAGGTAGGTAGGTTGGTAGGTAGTATGTATTAGGTAGGTAGGTAGGTACCGAAGTTAATTTCGAAGTCATTGTTGGTTCCTGTGAAAACATTCAAACCCAATATTGAAATACAATCAGTTAAACCAACTATTAAAATTCTCATATTGATTTGCTTTGGGGAAGATTGTATTGAATGGTAAATGGTGAGTGAGTGAGTGAGTGAGTTGATATTTAGCATCACATCGACATTACTTCAGCCATGTCGTGACGGAAACAATGTATACATACCATTAAAAAAAGTAGGGGATATTCCGTTTTGCGAGCATACCACTAACCAATGCCAATGCATATGAGAAAAGTAATATATTATATATATACAGATTAAACATTTCCAAAGGAATGGAATAAATTGTAACATTATTTTCCCTTAATTTCTCTGCATCATCTGTTTCCTCCATGGCGTCATCATTTGCATTTTATCAATCTTGTAAATCCAATATCCTCACTTTGTTTGGATGATCAATACATTAAGAACATAAAAACCTGATATCATTGGACCGTAAAACTATTAGAGTATCACAGGTCAATGTCAAAATGTTCTTAAGGGAACGGACAACAATGGGTTTTTTCAACGTCTGCGCCACGGAAACGACATCTGCGACAATGCATTGGAAATAGATCAATCTCTGATGTTGCGAAAACCACGATGCCAGAAGAGCAGGCATGACTTAGTATTGTACATACCTAATATGCCAATTGCTAACATATGGATATCGTTATTATGTTTATACTTACTTGGAAAGGAGAATGTCAGACCATTCTTCTCTGAGTTTTCTTTGATAGTTGGCTGTAGAGATGCATAACACAGCCCAACAAGTAGAGTTGCAAAGAAAACGTTGATGGTCATTATCGTCAATATAGAGGCAGCCGATGCTAGCCACAACAGAAACAGTGTCTGTTTTCTGTGTTAAAGTTTCATGCTCACATATATATGTGGCCTTCCGCGAGATAAGGAACCTAACTCATGGTAACCCCATTTCTTTAATCTAAATTATCTTGGGAAGTTACCTTACATTTCGCAAAGATCCTTCCATATTTATCAGAGACACATTTTAGGGACACAATGCATCTACAAGTCCCTGGTAATTTTCAGGAGAGTCCAAACTAAAAAGACTTCATGAAATTTAAGTTTATTTGAAATAGAAATGAACCATGCAAAGAATTCAAAACCGTTTCAGCAAATACGAAAATTGCCATACTGGTTATTATTATTATTACAAGAACTCCTTTACAATATCCTCTGTTCAGATCCATTTTATTTGTATATAAAAATGCACCGTTAGAATGTTAAGAAGAAAAATATAACCGAAATTACACTTCAGAGAAGAGTCGGAGAAAGAATTTACAGTATAAGAGAGATAACTCTCGAAAATAAAAATAGTTTTACCAAAGTAGCTCCATCGCACAGCATCGTATTCTAATGATGTACATACACTTGACGTTTAAATTCTGCTAAAGGGTAGTGCCATTCATTGTTCAGTTTACATCTACACATGTACGTGTCTCACTATCAGCGACTTGTTTATCAAGACCCGTGAAGGTCCGGGTTAGAATATTGAACTTCAATAGCCCATGTTTGTCGTAAGTAGCGACTAACGGGATCGGGTGGTCAGGCTCGTTGACTTGGTTCGCACATGTTATCGGTTCCCAACTGCGCAGATCGATGATCATGCTGTTGATCACTGGATTGTCTGGTCCAGACTCGATTATTTACAGACCGCTGCCATATAGCTGGAATATTGCTGAGCGCGGCGTAAAACTAAACTCACTCACTCACTTGTTTATCAAAGGCTACACAAACTGTGCCTTCTTGTCGTAGTCCCACACATTCGTTAGCCCATGATAAACTATAGAGTTAAGACAGGTCGTAGTATTACGAACAATTTATGGATCGGGACCAAGGACGTTAAAACACCGGACATTGGGACTTCTAAATATCCAGATAAGTATATTCCATAAGTTGTCTCTTCCATTTTGTTCTATATAAGCTTTAGTTATCTGGTTCACAAACCAGATCTGTCTAAGGGAGAGTACTTGTGATGCGATAAAGGCTGACGTAATTGATACCTCTCTTTATGTATGTCCTTTCTGCAACTGTTCTAAATCGTATTTCATCCCTGCTGGGTAATACCCGTTCAATCATAACAACTATCGTGGTACCTTGTTATCCGTCTCGTGGGTTGCTTTGATCCGTTGAAAACCTCACCATCATTGACCGAACGAACCTCCTGATACTTGGATGACCTTTTCAAGACATCTGAAGAGCCAGTCAAAAGCATGACACTAAATGCTTTAGTTCTACCCGTGAAGAATTAGTTAGATTTGGTCTTCAGTAAACCATGCTTGTCGTAAGAGGCGATTAACGGGATTGGATGGTCAGACTCGTTGACTTATTGAAAAATGTCGTCGTATTCCAAATGCGTAATAGCGTGATGCATGTAAACTGTCAAGCAACTGTAAACTGTCCAGTAACTGTAAACTGTCAAGCAACTGTAAACTGTCAAGTAACTGTAAACTGTCAAGCAACTGTAAACTGTCAAGTAACTGTAAACTGTCAAGCAACTGTAAACTGTCAAGTAACTGTAAACTGTCAAGCAACTGTAAACTGTCAAGTAACTGTAAACTGTCAAGCAACTGTAAACTGTCAAGCAACTGTAAACCGTCAAGCAACTGTAAACTGTAAAGTAACTGTAAACCGTCAAGTAACTGTAAACCGTCAAGCAACTGTAAACTGTCAAGCAACTGTTAACTGTCAAGTAACTGTAAACCGTCAAGTAACTGTAAACCGTCAAGCAACTGTAAACTGTCAAGTAACTGTAAACCATGAAGTAACTGTAAACCATGAAGTAACTGTAAACTGTCAAGCAGCTGATATATACCTGTTAAGAACAAATCAGACCAAGGTTGTACTTAAATGGTTCCAGTACGCATAAGGGGTGATGAGTCTAAAATTCGTTTATCTTATCAGTCTACAAAATGATCTACAGGACGATTTGTGTAGCGGTGGTGGTGGTATTCACTTATGGCCAGCTAATATACTGAGTCAAAAAAGAAACTTCACACTCTTTCTTCAGGGCACTATAAAAGAACAAGAGATGGTAAGATGGTTAAATTGTTATTATTTCATTGCTGAGATCTGTGTGATGTACTCGATACACTGACAGTGCCATAATCAGTTCCATTAGACTACACCGCCGTTCCAAAACATGGGTATACAGAATGTCAAGTCACAAGAAAATAAATGCGAAATTTCTCAGTTCAATATCGTGTATGGCCGCCCCGCGCATTCACCACTGCCAAACACCGTCTCCTCATCGACTGCCTGATGCTTGTGAACACGTGGTTGGGGATTCTGCGCCATTGCTCTTGCAAGGCAGCGCCAAGTTCCTGCAAATTCTGAGGTTGGTTCCTAAGACCACGAAGCCTTCTCCAAAGTGCATCCCAAACGTGCTCTATTGGATTAAGGTCAGGGGACCTCGATGGCCAGTCCATGACGTTGACTCCAGCGTTTTGAAGGAAATTTCGTGTCAACATCGCGGTATGCGGCCGAGCCTTATCATGCTTGAACTGTAGACCTGGGCCATGAGCCGCCATGAAAGGAACGAGTTCAGGGGTGAGCATCTGGTCGCGGTAAGCAGCAGCTGTGAGATTTCCACGGCTGACCAGAAGTCGGGAACGGTTGTTCCCACAGAAAGCACCCCACACCATGCAACTTCCGCCCCCGAATCTGGCGACTTCCTGTACACAACATTGGGCATACCGTTCATGACGTCGTCTCCAGACTCTATGCCTGCCGTCCGCGAATCTGAGGGTAAACCTGGATTCATTGCAAAAGACGACTCGATTCCAGTCTCTCTTGGTCCATCGGATGTGACGTTGGGCCCACAGCAGACGTTGACGTTGATGAAACGGCGTCAATATTGGCCCACGATATGGACGTCGAGAATGGAGATTGGCAGCCCGCAACCGATTTCGAATGGTCTGTGGGGACAGTCGACCTCTAAACACCTCAGCCCTGGTTCGTGTAGCCGGCAGAAATCTGTCACGTAGGTGACGTAAGACGATTTGACGGGCTCCTGCTCGTGACGTCACACGTGGACGACCCGACCTTGGGCGATCAGAAGTGGTGCCAGTTTGTTGTAGACGACCTCGCAAGTCATACACAGTACGACGGCTGCATTCCATTGCTCTTGCGACGTCAATAACTGATCTTCCCGCTTGCAACATGCCAACGGCACGTTCACATTGCACATTTGACAATCGGTTAGAACTGTGGTTTAAAAGCGTTTTTTCAATTCTTGAGGCCAATGCAAACACGTGCATATGAAGAAAACTTCGATGCGAAGATCACGTGATCAACTGCACGTGCAAAACCTGATTTGCGACTAACGTCATTTGCACGACGAATGGATGGGTTTGAGTGGGTTTTGCTAACGTTTTTCTAGAGTCGAAATATAGGGATCCCATTTCGGATACATAGATGTATCATCAGAGAAAAATTATTCATTATTTTTCAAATTTCATTTTGTGAAGTTTCTTTTTTGACTCAGTATATTTACCTGCTTGCTATAATAATTTATTTTGTTAATTAGATAAAATCAAGAAAATAGAATTTAACAGAATTGCTGAGGTGGCTGAACCCATGAACATGTGCCTATCCGACATCTCCCAGCTATTGCAAAACCAGTAACAGTTACCGCCTTTATTGTTTGACGTTGTTAGCCCAAGGTGAGGTCTCTGTAAACACATGATGTTGTCTTTGCCTGTGCTCTCCTTACAGTTTCTGAGCTAGTCAGTTGACGCCAACCCCTTACATCTTACCTCATTGTATTTCATAGAAGTGTACATGGCATTGGCGGCAAGGACCAGAGTGTTGAAATGGAGGCTCTGATATTGTCTCCCAGGTCCTTGGCAATAGTGAGTATATTTTGAGCAGGACCATTTGTTAGCCCCCGGCATGTGGATATGATGCTATCGGAATAATGTCTACCTGGTATCAACGTATATGTGTAAGTCATGTGGAGCTAAACCAGCTTTTTGAGACCCAATGTCACGTCAAAAAGATATATATCAACGTAGGACATCGGAGCCCAATTGCATAGATCAATGCTCATGCTGTTGATCCAATCTGGTCCAGACTTGATTATTTACAGACAGCCGCCTTATACCTGGAGTGTTGCTGGGTGCGGCCTCATACAAACACACAAAAAAAACAAGCATGAACATTTTTATTTCCAAATAAACAAAGATCATTCCATATGTTTGGACTATTTGTACATCAGGACATTATCCAGCGTCTCGCAGAGCAGTCTAATACTGTATCATCTTGACGGACCTGATCTTCATGGCAGCGTCTTCACCATGCCAAGTTGGCTGCCACTGGTGCCTGTTCTTCCAGAAGTCTGCCATTGCGGTAGGTGATCCATTCTTCCATGGTTTTCCATTAGCGTTGTGCCACGAATCGGAAAAGTAGACGTCATCGCCAACAGCGACGTTGAGGATGAGACCCATCTGGAAGTGGTATATGTTCCCAATAGTTACACACTGCTTAAACAATTGATCAACGATTGTAATACGAGGATCGTGCAACTATCTATATAGATGACAAAACTTGCAAAACCATTTTTTAAATTATATCATAATTATAACAAGTTCAGCTAGAGGTTCAATTATTATGGCGTAGGTGTAGGTTGTGTATTGTCTGGTCCAGGCTCGATTATTTTACAGACAACATCATACAGCTGTAATGCTGCTAAAAGAAATATATCGTCATGATAAAGTCACATTTCTTATGAATGTGGATAGGGTTTAGTTTCTACTAATATAATCCTTGTTGATATGTCTGTCACTCAACTTTTTAGCGAGACGTCAAATGAGTGTGTCGTAAAATAGATAAATACCAAGAGGAAAACAGTTCCTCCCAAGATCAATATCCACAAACAGTCATTTTCACAGTGTCTGTCTTTTGTCTAAACGTATGCATTTTTTAAATGAGAACCCACATTCATCCCATTTCCATATCTGTTCCAGTAGTATAGGGAATGGCGGTACGGGACTGCAAAGCAAAAATAATTATAAAATAAGAAGGAAAAGACCAAAAAAAGCAGGTGCACTCTGCATTTGAGTATATATAGACACTCTTTGTTTGCATTGTTTGTTTTTTCTTTGCGGTCCCAGTAGTCAATCCAACCCCAAGACAGGTATATGTAAAAAAATGGAGTCCAGCGCAGAAAAACAACAACAGTATGTTGATGGGGTTTGGACTACTCTCGTGTTGTTTCTACACTGGCGAAAGTGCACTCGAATTAGAGATACACAGTAACATAGGTATAGAACACAACAAAATGTCAGTAACCAAGCTATCGCACGGAGCCTATGCCGAGGTCTGATAGAGGCGTTTGTCCCTTCGGGAAGCGAAGAGGAAGTACCACATATCGCAAGCCCGATACGCGCGAATCCAAGGTGGAACAGAGCCTGAGACAACGACGACGACAACTTCCAACATGGTCTTCGAGAGACTGCTGGAGAAGTGTCCCACGTGTTGCTTCCCGACCGAGAGAAACAAATCCTGAAGAAATCGGAAGGAAACAACATCTGCAAAGAGTTTGCCGTAGCAAAATACGAAGGGAAGAACCGACTGTTGCTGCTACTTGCTTCGCCATCGACTGGAGAAAAAACGATTCCAGTCTACGGCTACAATATACGAGAAACGCTGCCTTCAGTTGGTGGGTGGACCGTTTCGGTGCAGGCGTTGCAAAGTCTGCCACTCGCCCATATCGAAAAGGAAAGACGATCGAGAAGTCGAATTGCTGCTGCTCCCTGAGACCGAGCAAACAAGTGCTGGACGGGAAAAAAACTGGGGCGAAAAAAACACGATGTTGTAGACATTTGATGGATCTGTCGACAAAGCCCAGCTCTAGGGCACAACGCGACTTCTCTAATGCTTGTAGTGGGGTTTCCTATGTTTTGGCATCGTCTCGTGGACCTGTCTGTGGACCGGTGTGTGGTGGGCTGGTGGTGTGCTGTTTCTTCCAGGTCTTGTTGATGACAATCCAGACAAACACGGCAAACCGTAGGCATTCTATTCCACCAACGTTTCGAACCTTTTCTCGTATCTTGTAGCCGTAGACCGGAATAGTTTTTTCTCCAGTTGACGGCGAAGCGAGTAGCAGCAACAGTCGGTTCTTCCCTTCGTATTTCGCTACGGCAAACTTTTTGTAGATGTGCTTTCCTTCCGGAATTTCTGTGGCTTTCCGGTGTTTGTTGCACAGAAGGGCTGCTACTTCCATATCTTTGGACCCACTGTAGTTGGACAAGGGGGTAGTATGTCGTCCCCGTCCTCATGGTGGCTCTGCTTGTCCTGATAGCTGTTGGAAGATACAAGACTCTTTCTCGCTGCATGGGCAATTGGCCGACAACTCACTGACGAGGCGTTGGTAGCGCAGGCACCAGGAGCGGCAGTTGTCATCATACAGATTCTCTATGTTTGAGAGACAGTAGGAGATCGGGATTTCTTCAGGAACCTCGAATTGTCTTCTATCACATTTTTTTTTTTAACAGAACGCATTTCTTGCTGTTGAGGCAGTGGTCGATGGCGCAGCACTTGCACGTGGAGTTGTCTCGCTCGAAGAGTGTTGGGAGTTCCGATATGGTGGCCAGGCAGTCGGTGCATCGGTGGTGTCTTCTGTCCTTGGGGTTCCGGCCAGCAGCTAGCGGCGAGAACGATGCGGAGTTTGCCCACTGTGGGTCGAAATTGGTTGGGTGGGTAGAGGTAGACAAAATCCACTATTTTGCCATCTTCTACGAATTGGTGAAAGCACAGCAAATACAGTTCCAGAAACTGCGGAGGCATCTGGTAGCGCTCGTAGAAGGTGTGTCACGATTTCTCCAGGATTTGTTTCTCTCGTTTCGAAAGCAACACGTGGGGACACTTCTCCAGCAGTCTCTCAAAGACCATGTCAGAAGTTGTCGTCGTTGTCTCTGGCTCTGTACCACCTTGGATTCGCATGTATCAGGCTTGCGATATGTGGTACTTCCTCTTCGCATCACGAAGGGACAAACGCCTCGATTGGACCTCGGCATAGGCTTCGTGTGATAGCATGGTTCCTGGCATGTTGTTGTGTTCTTTACCTACGTACCTGTGTATCTCTAATTCGAGTGCACTTTCGCCAGTGTAGAAACAACACGAGAGTGGTCCAAACCCCATCAACATGCTGTTGTTGTTTTTCTGTGCTATACCTGTCTTGGGGTTGGATGGACTACTGGGACCGCAAAGAAAAAAACTCCAATGCAAACAAAGAGTGTCTATATATACTCAAATGCAGAGTGCACCTCCTCTTTTTGCTCTTTTCCTTCTTATTTTATCATTATTTTTGCTTTTCAGTTCTGTACCGCCATTCCCTATACTACTGTTACCTATAATGAAAAGGAATATACATGTATTTTTAAGTTTAAATTACCGGTCCGTCAAAGGGCGCATCTTTGCCCCCGCTTGCCCAGATGTTGTGACCAGTCAGGTGACTGTATGCCCACACACCTTGGGAGGGCGTTGACCAGGCCAAGACCGGATGGTCATCTACAGACAATCTGGTACAGGAGAACATACATGTAAGCTATAGGTTTTGGAGACACTACACAACAATGGCTAGAGGGGAATAGCTTTTTGTCATGTCTTAGATATTTAGGCATTTACGGTAAACAGAGATTATGATAACATTTCAATCTTTTCAATATTGAACAACGAGGAGAGTCCTTATACAACTTCTTCAATATTAATTTGAGCGGCGTATCGGTGTAGCTACCAACACTTGCAGGGTAATAGAGTTTGTAGCTACACCGAAACGTCGCTCTTATTAATATAATAAATAAAGTTGTATATCCATAGAACTCTCCTCGTTGTTCATCACCAACTTATTATTTACATGCCACTTAAAGAAACTTTTCAAAATTACTTACCTTGAACCTATAAACAGTAAAGAATAGGCATTTATATTACATGATCATTATTCTTTCTAGTTTTTACTGTGTATTATCACCCCACCTTATGTGGTCGGCTGTCCAGTCAACGGAATAAGTGTGGAAATCGTCAGCCCACATTGTCCCAGGTGCACTTTGCCTGTTAAAGAGAAAACAGATATATATTTTTTTTTAATTATAATATTGATATATTTCAAGACACCAATTGGAAAACTAGGGCACCACAACTTGACAGTGGTTTTGCAATCTTTATTTACGACCATATAAGTTGACAATAAAGCGAACGTCTTTATGGATTACATCTGTCAACTTCTTGTTTATTGCATAGAGCGACGTTTCGGTGTTGATTCTTACACTGTTTTCAAGCTGCACGTTAATCTGGACCGAAGCGTCGCTCTATCCACCAAGTCGTATGCTTTATTATGTATTCTAGAATGCCGATCTAACAATTACCATGTAAGTTTATCAAGGCTGGAATCCCCAGGTCGCCGATAATGATCCTTGCTATGTAAGTATGATGTTAAAAGTAGTTTGACTTATCGCACACAAGAAGCTTACAATACCGAATTAGTGTTTAAATCGGCATCAACACGATTTTTCTCATTAATAACGTGAACTAGTTATCAGTTCATGTGTACAATAGGGCTTACCTTACCTCACACATAAATGCCGTTTTCTGTTTGGCTGAGCTAATCAATCCCGCTTACAAGCGAGTAACATTTTCTATGTTACCTGCTGGAATTGCCGAATTGTGGGTATTCGTTTGGTACTGCATATTAGTAGTGTTTGGGTTGTGGCCTACCTCCGGTACTCCTTATTATGATCCAATACCCGTGCCTCAAACAGTTCTAAATTAACATTGAGGTGTTCGGTAAGATAAAGACGTTGTTCACTGGTATCTCGGGGGTCCATGGGTTTTGTTTGTTTGATGAAACCCTGTATGTTTGCTTATGTTCCCTGTCCCCCTCGTGACCAGTGAACAACTTATAATGTGTACATGGTTATCTGTGTTCGATGTTGGCATAACGACGTATACTTGTAGGATCTGAACAATGATAGGTCGGCTGTGCACATGTCGGTAACAAGAAGCCAACTTTGGCGTCAAACCAAGTTCAAAATACAACATGCTCCAAAACACATTTCCTGTACAATTGCTCACACTGAACCCGAGTTCATTGGGTTAAAGCCACTTTCATCACGCGTATGCGACTGTGAAAATGTTCAACTCAGTTAATGATTCATGAAGAATTATTAAACGATGGAGACTGAAACGCTACCTTCCATATCCCTTGCTCCGGTGCTGATCGGACACCCCCCAGTGAAGTGTAGAGCGGAAAAACTGGCCACCATGATCATTGCCATTGCTATCCTTCAAGTTGACGTTCCCTTGGAACAAGAAGTTGGGAATATGTTTTCTCTACAGGTGTAGCAGGACCTTTATCACGCACGACTGGCCTCAAACAACATTTCACTGATTCGTTCATATAGTTTTCATATCAACTAATTTGCCATTTCTCGCAATGTAATTGTTCTATCTACTTATTTGGATTTTAATCACAGTTGGTTTGTCCGTCGTTTAACGCCGTCCTCCGCAAATTTCAAGTTATATGACCACGGTCTCTAAAAATTGATTCTGGACCTGAAAATTCATTGATTGACATATAGATCCAGGTATGACCTGGACTTCTTCAAACCATGAACAAGAGGTGACTAACTGTATCTGTAGAGCAATGTGAGGGCACTTATAGAGCTATGCACAATGCGTTTAAAAGTAATTTAAAATGGTGCTAATAAGTCCTTTCCTTGTAAAGACTGTGACACGGAATGCACATACGTCTTTGTTGGACTTTTGGGCTTGAAGGTTTACATAGGATAATCATAATTATGTAATTTATTTCCAAGCAATATCAAACTAATTGCCTTTTGTGCAGACAAATTGCTTGTCGTATATTTTATCTGAAAATATTCCTAGCTGGTCTACATGACAAAACACCCCGCGTGTATCTGACAGACCAAGAATTACATTAAGCTCTCCCAAAATACACCACTTCAGCCTTTTCAATCCAGTCATGATACAGGTCTCAACATTTCAACGTCACTTCAACTTACGAATGTCGATGCTGTTTCAATGTTGAAGCATCATATTGCTTCATCACTGATTCAATCATCACTTACCTCTTGCTTCCATAATGTCTATCTCACCAGAGTCTGGCCATCCGCCATATTTCCAAGGTCTCGTTGGTGGAAGCATCCATATTGCTATGGTAAGCATGAAATTCGGGGTTGTATTAGGCGATTGAATAAAATTTAGGCCCAATTTACAAAGCAATCTTTAGTTAATTGACCATTACAATTACGGTTGTTCATAATTATGAAATTAGCGACACGAAGGCTCAACCAGCAAAATCGATGCTTATCATGTGCTCTTATATTAAAGGTTATTTATAAAGGGACAATTAATATTAAACGATGATCGCATCAACTTTAAAACATCACTCACCTGGTTTTAACCAATCCCCTTTAGGTAATTTTGCAACAACTTCTACCCTCCCGTAGGTGATGGAAGCTTTTGAATAGAGTTTTGCCGACATGATAGGTGCAATTCCATTTTTGGCTCCAGTACGGTAGCATCCGTCGTCACTGATGTATGTACACGTTCCCCATTGCTCTGGAAAAGACATGATATTCTGTACCGTGTCTTCCTCAAGAATTATGTTAGAAGTGAGGTGAGGTGAGGTGAGGTGAAATTGGGTTTAACGTCGTACTTGAGAATATTTCGCTCATATGACGACGTGCATGCGTGTGTATGTGTATGTGCGCCTGCTTGTACTAGCCCAGACTTAAGCTGGCTTTATAGTGCTAGCCCACTGAGATACCATGCCGCAGTGAAGCATGAATACCCCACTCAGACACATTATACTGACTCCGAGCCGACCAGTCCTTGTTGTACCCATTAATGCCGAGCGCCAGACAGGGACCAACAAGTACCATATTTTAACGTCTTTTGGTACGACGCGGTCGGGGATCGAACCCGCGACCTTCCGCTCTCCGGGCGGACGCTCTAACCACTACACCACGGAGGCGGTCATGTTAGAAGTGAAGACATGGAACAGACAGAATATCCTTTACCGTATCTTCCTCAAGAATTATGCTATGCGTGAAGACATGGAACAATCAGGATTCCATTTACCTTATCTTCCTAAAAATATACGTTAAACGTGAAGACATTGAACAAACAAGATTCCCTTTACTGTATCTTCCTCAATAAATACTTTAAACGTGAAGACTTTGAACAAACAGGATATCCTTTGCCGTATCTTCCTTAAGCATTATGTAATACGTGATGATATATGGGACAGACAGGGGTCATTTACCGTATCTTCCTCATGAATTACGATAAACGTGAAGACATGAAGTAGTCAGGATTCCCTTTACCGTATCTTCCTCAAGAAATATGTAAAACGTGAAGACATGTATCCTTATGTATCATGTTATATGTGATACCTGTTTTCCACAGTCGGATACTGATGCATTTGTCTACTTCTGGTACAAGCCCAATTATGTTTGTGTGTGACTTGTGGTGACAGGCCGCTGTTTAAGCAAATTTTGTTTGCTGTGTTGGACTTACAATGAATGTTTTAAGGGGCAGCTAGTATGAGAGATCGGCGTCGTCATGTAGGTATTATATTTGACCATATATCACAGAAACTAATCCCTGGGTAATATGAAGAGCAACTTTTTGTCAATCATCTTAAAGAATGTTTGATCGGCATTCTAGATGTTCGACGATAACGAAGATAACAACTTTATGCAAAACAACTTCTTGTTCATGGAAAATAGCAACATTTCAGTGTAGAATCTGACACCGTTATCTGTTAAAACAAGCAGCAGATTAACATAAACAACAACGGGTAATTGATCATAAATAGCACATGACAAGATGAGGGCACTTCAAGAAGAAGAACAGCAAATAATACAAGTCACGAAGCTTATGTACAAAAAGGATTAAAATCTGATTGGAAGATACATGTAGTTGAGTAGTTGACTGACAGCGTTCACAAACCTCTGATCAACAGAGATCATGAATATTACATACGCACAAGCCCCGTGCTATGCTACAGAACATTTTTATGATTTTTATAACAGTTTATAAATGGACTGGATGTACTTTGTTTACGTTTGTTTTACATTGAATCTGCGATATTTACCTTATTGTTTTGTTTTGGCAACTTTGCTTTTCATACTGTCATGCTTCCATTGTATGATATTGTCTTTACATTTGAAACACTGAAACTCTGTACAAAGGTCATGATTAAGAGTGACCTGATATTAAAAATCTGGTTTCAAGCATAACATAGGTATATACAGAGTATTTATACTACGAAGGATATACACTCATACCACAGACTGTAATCTATTTCATAACCATACCAATTAATATCTTTAAATTCTGCACATCTGAATGAAAATACATAACTTAATCTCTTTGAACTCTGTACATCTCAATCAAAACATATGACTTAATCTCCTTGATCTCCGTACATCTCAATCGTTAATCCCATCTCACTGGCCTTCTGTGCGTACTACATATTTGGCTTGTAAACCACATTCTGTTATTCACCTGATGAAGTGTCGAGAAGTAACCCCAAAACGACGTGTTGTAAATAATAAAGAAGTTCTAAATCCATACGTTGTTATGTTACCTTCCAACTTCTAAATGCCCATTAAGCATCTGGTTTCAAGCGTGGAACATCGGGAAAACTTACTGCGAACATCCAGAACACCATTGTGAAGAAAGCTTTCTCCAAATTTGTCTACCGTAAACGTCTGAAGAGGAAATAATGATCTTAGAATGGAAGTATAGTTGGATTTAAAATCTGTCAAAACATGAATGAAAATTAGGCTCTTAGTTCAAACATTCGGCACTACATCCAAGAAGCAACAATAGGTTTATTACATAGAGATTTGTTTCTGGGTTACATCTTCTTTTTATTCCAGAAAAAATCTCTATGTTCATCAAATATCATCTTCTAAAATGCCAATCAAGCATCTAGGTTTATTACAATCAGTTTTAATTAATAAATACCTGTACCCAAGAATACTTATAATGCAGACATATGGTTTTGGTGAAACGAGTATAATATACCATGCGTCCTAGAAATAGCTGACTCTGATATACTTTCAAGATGACCATACTTGAATGGGGAGAGGAACCTTTAGTATACCACTGTGTCATAAACGTTAAAAAACCCGACACAATATTGCTTCCATAAAAGTCACAAGTTATGCATCGAACGTCTAGGGTAACAGATATATTCACCGATGGACAGCCCGGATTAGAATATGTCTTCCGTCACCCATGCTTGTCGTGAGGGGCGACTAACGGGATCGGGTGGTCAGGCTCGTTGACCTGGTTGACACATGTCATCGTATCCGAACTGCATAAATCGATGCTCATGATGTTGCTCACTGGATTGTCTGGTCCAGACACGATTATATACATACCGTCATTTAGCTGGGATATTGCTGAGTGTGGTGTAACACTAAACTCACTCACTCACAAACGAAAGTATTGTACCGGTTTGATGTAGAGAAGGCCGTTTTTGGTGTAGCTGTTTGCCGGTTCTGGTGTGAACATTTGGAACTGCCCGCCCTGGAATAATACCCCAAACGTGATGCATTAACTCTGGATACATGTATTATAACTGCTATATATGGCATTTTGAAGTACGGTGAATAAAGGAGATAATTCTATTCCTATACAACTTCTACATTTTAATAATTAGGTTTCGTTTCAGATACTACTTATCACGGATGTGTTCACCGTTAGAGTCTATACAGCAACTTGGCATTCATTGTAATATAAAAGTTTTATATCAATGGGATTATCTCCTTGCATGTATTTTGTTGGAAAAATAGCCAAAATAGCCATTTTAACAGTGTATTAATCAAATATAATATATATGACATCATCGTGATCGTGTATTTTCCTGGATCCGTAACTAAGTTAATTGCAGTCCCCTGCTTCAAAGTGAAAACGATACACAAGCTAATCACATGATGACCCAAGACCTAGTGACGGATCAGCCTGTCACTAGTATTAAGCCGAGTTGCGGAGAGGTTGACTGACTGATGAGGTAATGTGTCGCTGGTAGTACACATTTGAACCACCAAGGCCGTAACTTTGATTTTATAGAAATGAAAACACACTTGTATTTTTAGCACTTATTGATGTTGTTATTTACTGACAATGCAACGTAAGGTTTATTGTCTAATGTGCATCTGTTTGGTGCTAGAAATTGATTTTCTGCAAACCACGTCATTGCTTAAGTGTTATTTACCAAAACATTAACGACAGTTCGATGGCCTAAAACTTATTCTTTTGGTCACATAAAAAGCCCCAACCGCTCAAAATCAAATTCTGTGTGTGTGTCACTTGTGGCTCAGACTGAGTTAATCAGTTAATCTCACGAGTCCGGCGATGAAGATAAAGATCATGAGGTGATACATCCGAGACCAATCTTACCCCGGTTCCCCGGCAAGTGACTTCATGTTTCCAATTTTTTTGCTGTCAACATAATGATGGTGGAATTCGTCTAACAGGACGGTTGTTCCGCGTCTGTACAGTCGAGGGCTGAGCGATGACGCCGCTAGATATCGGAATATATAACAGCATTATGAGATGGCTGTGTGATCGACTATTCACTCAGCGTTTTCTCAGCTCTAAGGCGGTCATAAGCAGAAGCGGATTCAGGAATTATCTCGGGGGTGGGGGTGGGGTGTTCAGGGGGTACTGACCCCTGACCCCCCCTTTGGCTCCGCCAATGCAAAACATTAAGCTCAATGTTGTCTTTAGTCATTTTCAAAAGGGGGACCACCAGATTCAGTTATATCCAGTTTGTCGTCTCTCTTGCGAGAAGCACTGGGTGCTGAAGATCAGATCTGTCCTGGATCTTAACGGGGTAATAATAGGGTGATGAACACTTACTAACTACAAGGTACACATAATAAAGGTATTCTGTATCATTTGAATGATTGTTGTTTGACGTAACGGTCAGGAATATTTCACCGCTATCACGTGAAGTGTACAAGTACTCGAGTCCTGGCAAACCGTTGGATGACAGTATGAGCAACGATTTGCATTGTCGCGATGTCGCATGTCGCGTTTTGAAAAATATTTTTTTCAATTTCTCCAAAGGGCGACATAGCGACAATTTTCAAGGTCAAAATATGTCGCGTTGTCGCATTATCGCCCCATCTAAGATGTGTGACAAAAGCTGCAAAAATGCGAGACAACGCGACAATGTCCCTTCAAGGATTCAATAGTTTACGTCCTTATACATCCACAATTATTTTTACAAAAATCAAAAACATATTTTAAAAAAACCCACAAAAGCATGTTAGAAACGAATCCTTGGTATACATACGTGGGATGATGTATACATCATTAAGTTGATGAAGAACATCTCCGGTTGCAGATAAATATTTTACTGAATATTCCAGCACATCATTGTCAGTGAATTCCCTCTTGCTTTGAATCCGGTATGTGAAATATCCATCAGCTGGGAAAATAGAGATAATGCGCAACTGTCACTGAAATGTTTGTTGGAGAAAATGTTCTGCTGTGTTCTGGAATTTTGAACCTGCAGGAGTGTCCTCGTGTCACGAAAAATAGCTATCTTGTCTTCATTTGGGACCTATGACTCGGTGGACTTGTCTCATGTGACATACACTACCGATCAAAAGAAAGTTAGTCCTTTTAAGGTAATTGTATAATAAAACACTGGTACAATCGGTACAGGTTGTGGATCTTACATACATCTTTTATTTTTTTTTTTTTGGTCAAGTGAAGTCGGTGATAACTTTCGTTTGCCCGGTAGTTTATTGACTTGCAGCCTGTGCAAACTCATTTTCTTATTTCTTCTAACGCTAACTCAGCAATATTCCAGCTATATGGCTCGGTCTGTAAATAATCGAATCTGAACCAGACAGTCCAGTGATCAACAGCATGAGCATCGACCTGTGCAACTGGGATATGATGACCACGTAAGCGACCTGGCAACCCGATCCCGAGTCCCTCGTTAGCATGGTTTGCTGAAGACAAATTCTAACAATATCGTCACCAATTCTATCCGTACTTACACCCTCTACAATTCTGTTATAACATCTTTCAACAGGACAGACCAACGATCAGAAGTACACGAGTACCCATGCTTAGAACATTACACTACACATTAACATTTAATACTGTCATATCAGCCATGACAGAAGCATAATATAATAAGTACAATTTATTGCCAGACTATTATATTTACCTTGTTTATGCAGTCTGACGGTGTTGGTCAAGTGAGGTAAATGTGCCTGTTGCTTCACAAGACGGAGAGCGTACGACAGTTCTATCGTATCAACACCAGGCACATCTGCCAAAACAAAATACACGAGTTACATGCTGTTATTTTAGTTCGAAATTTGTATGGATTGCAAGCATGTTAGCTGGAACCACACAGTCTTTCTAAAGACGGGTAGGGAAGACACAGTTTACACCGACTTGTAAGGGTGGTTCAAATTAATTATAAATGAAAATGTTCTAACATGGTATTTGATACAGGAAGCAGCTGTTTTGGGGAGCTACAATCTGCAAGGTTTTGGCCCCTCGTTTCCACCGAGTAACATTTCATAATAATTTCAAAATAGAACTTGCAAACTATGTGATCTTAACCAAATAGAAGATGAATATCATTTTCTTTTAATTTGCCCTGCTTATAATTCCATCAGAAAGTTGTATATTAAGAAATATTATTGTGCCCATCCAAACCTTTATAAATTCTCAGCATTGTTGAATAACAAAACCCATACTATACTTCAAAACTTGTCCATGTTTGTTTACTATGCCATGTTGTTTAGGACAGAATATATCTCAGAACACAATGTAACCTAAAGTTGATTATTTTCCCTTCTTCATGTATATTATCCGTGCGTGTAAATATTGATTTATAAATGCATTGTACTACAGGCCTGTGGCCTTTCAGTACCGGAAATAAATATATATGACAATAATTGCATTTTTATCAAAACAAATTTGCAAGCGTATACATTCTCATATTCATAACTATTTCTGAGTTTATAACTACACTGTTATTGGTTCCTTGTCTTTGTTTGGATAAAATTAATTTAGAAAAGTATTTTTCAATGAGCCGGTAAATACGGGCAAACCAACTAAAGGTTAAATGTCCACTGATTGGTTGGTAACATCATTTGATAGGTGGGGCTTGTGTTGCAGTATTGCGCTGAACTATGTCTTGTGTTACAGATTTAGAAGCAGTAAGGGAAGATATTGAGGCTTTGGTATTTATTGACAGGAAGTGATCTAAATACGTTATGCAGATACCAACGATTAAACCAAAGCCTTGTTTTACGTCCATACGTCCAGGATCGAAACGAAAAGTTAACTTCATAAAAGACTTCAGAATTACGTTAAAGAAATAACGGATGTTTAGGTGGTAATGTTTAAAGATGTTCTGACACACCCACTCACTTACTAACCAGTAACATCCGTGGTGATAAATGCTGTGCCATTTATCTAACTTATCTCAAATATATAGTGGAGAAGCTGTTCTGATCCTATTTAAACAAATCATCAGAAACGCCAAACAATAATTTCAAATTATGGATTAGTTTTTAGGAATGTAAGCGTGAACTATTAACTATATATTAACTGAATGCGATCACAGTATTTCACATTGCTGTACGCAAAGTGGTGGGCACTGTCCACACGTCATCTACTACAAAGTATCAGAAGAATCCGATGTTGCAACAACCACGATAGACGTAGCCGGAGATTGAGTTAATAATTAGACATAATACCTTAAACAAAAGTATTTTCCATGCCAACAATATTCTGGCCAGTTGGTACCATATGCTTATGGTTATTATATATACTTATGGCACCGAATAAGGGAATACATGAAAGTGTTCCTTTATTCTTTTTCAGGTTTCTCTACAAGCTTTGTATTGCACTGTGGGCGAAATTCTGGACATACATAAAGGAACACTAGTACTTTCATGTGTTCCCTTATTCGCTTCCATGAGTATATGTTTACACTTACTTGGGAAGGACAATGTGTTCCCTTATTCGCTTCCATGAGTGTATGTTTACACTTACTTGGGAAGGACAATGTCATTCCATTCTTCTCTGTGTCTTGTTTGATGGTTGGCTGTAAAGACGCACAACAAAGCCCGACAAGCAGAGTTGTGAAGAAGACGTTGATGGGCATTCTCGTCGATATCGAGGCAGCCACCACAGAAGCAGTGTCTGGTTTCTGTGCTAAGATTGTGACAATATATCTCGCCTTATCAGTCAGTCACTGAAAATGGCACAAATGCATGACGCATGTATCTGAAGTATTTTTAATATCCCACATTACCTTTTCTAATGTCACTGAAATGTACTTTGACATACCAGTGCCGGTATGTAGTCCAGACTAAACGAATGGAGAAAAGTTGATTGAAGCACACAACATTAATGTTTCCACAGGTAAAGGGATAGAGTTGGTATTGTCCAAATCGAAAAGACAAGGATGTTAATTAAGTTCGAGGGTTTGAAGGTGTAACGTTTACTGAAGTTAGTTAGTTTTTAAACGAATATGTACCTTTTAGATATACCATTTGAGATAAATGCATGTTACTCATCGTTTGAGATGAGGCAGTTGGCTATGATGAATACAGATAGTCATCTTGTCGAGTATTACCGTTCCTTTGTCCGTTACTTCTTGACGTTGAGCTCGCAACATCAGAGTTCACGGTAAACTTATTCATGAAGTGTACCTTAATGTGTAAAATAATATCAGTTTGGTCAAGGACATTCACCACAGAGCGGCGTTATTACCGAACAACTTTTAAAGTACCATCGTGCGTGAATCAGCATAGAATATGTGACTGTTTATTGTGATGTATTGTAAAACTGTCGCTTTGTATTTTCATTTTAGGACCCGTGAAGATCCGGGTTAGATTTGGTCTTCAGTAACATTGCTTGTAAGAGGCGACTAATCGTCGGGTCGGGCTCGCTGACTTGGTTGAAATATGTCATCGTATCCCAATAGCGTAGATTGATTCTCATGTTGAACATTGATCACTTAATCATCTGGTCCATACTCAATTATTCACAGAACGCCGCCATATAGCTGGAATATTGCTGAGTGTTTCGTTAAAAACATCCAAAATTTCATTATTGACACACTTACATGGAGGGAAGCGTGTACGGGTAAACTGTCCAGCAACTGTAAAGAACTACTTTGGTTTTTGATAAAACCAAATCAGAAAAAGTCTAATAGAAAGAGTGGCAGTCAGAAAGGTAAGGCAAAAATTCGTGTATCTTATCTGTCTAAATTCCGATCCACATAACAATGTTAACAATGTAGATGGGCAGAGACCATACACGATAGTCTCAAAACACGACGATAAAAAGCTGGTCTCAGAACATGACGATAAAAAAGACGGTCACCTGAACGGTCAGTCTGGGTAAAACATGACCTGATTGATGACACAGCGATAAGCATATTTCACGAGCGGAAAGCAGGGGCAATCTCAAAGGCAAGAAACAGTTTGGGTCCAGTTTCTTATTACGGATGGGACATCACCTGGATACGTACAATTGCCGAGATAAGCTCCCAGATTCAGGCAAATGAGGTGTTGGCCGCCATGATTATATCCACGAGAGTAAACAAAACTGTCAACAGCACCATGGATGCATGGTAATACGAAGTTTTTCCTGATTGTTTGTGGTCCCTGTACATAATCGAGTCAAATAGCATGAGCATTGTTCTACGCATTTGCAGTCTAAGTAAACTTAGGCTTAGTATTATTCGTTACACTGCTATACTGAGTCTAACAAAACCTTGTGGAAGGTCGCGTCAGCTGACCTTTTCAATAGACCAATCAGAACACAGCTTACCAAATGCGTTGACATTCGCACATACCTTTTGAACTTTTACCTCGAAAGAGTTTTGTACCCGAACGATTCCGAATGCTATTTTTCGTACGATTGCTTCCGAGTGATGCACATGGGGCACGACACAACAGTGTGTAAACAGTCGCTGAAAATAGCGTTTTGTCAGTATTCAAGGATGTCAGCTTTCGAAATTATTAGCTAATGATAGCCATGTGAACAGATTCCCCAAAGCGTATATTCTGCAGGTCATATATCTGTGTTCTATGCGGGTTTTCACTTGTCATGAGATCAGTGTTTGCGACCGGGGAAGAGAAAATCCATTTTGTAAGTCCCGCCAAACCCTAAATAGTAGCCGTTGTCTGATTGGTTAAATCCGTTCGGCCGTCTCGCGTTTGATTGGACGGTCATAGGTCGCTCAAAGGTTACCTGACGCGACCTTCCACAAGGTTTTGTTAGACTCAGTATAGCAGTGTCACGAATAATACTGGGCCTAAGTTTACTAGACTGACGCATTTGTGATACGATGACATATGTCTACCAAGTCAGAAAGAGCCCGACTAACCGGTCCCGTTTGTCGCCTCTCGGGGGCATCGGGGACTAAACCTTAAGGTTTTTCCAGATGGTTTTCCAAATGTGCATGCGAATGAACTATTATCGGGTCACAGTTCACCACATAGGAATGAACGATCAGCTGGAACCCTGACAACCACTTGTACACATATTGTAACACCAGAATCATGTATTAACCAGATGACCAGTTTGATAACTTTATTCCGTAACAGATGGATGTTATTCAAGGTGTAAGAAACCTCCGTGAGAAGTACTCGCGTACTCAGATGCAGTCTAATACTGTATCATCTTGACGGACCTGATCTTCATGGCAGCGTCTTCACCATGCCAAGTTGGCTGCCACTGGTGCCTGTTCTTCCAGAAGTCTGCCATGGAGGTAGGCGATCCATTCTTCCACGGTTTTCCATTAGGGTTATGCCAAGAATCAGAAAAGAAGACGCTATTGTCGCCGACAGCTACGTTGAGGATGAGACCCATCTATAAATGTTAAGGCGATTGTCTTCACACCGATAACCAAAAGCTTAAATAAATCACAGATGATTGGAAATAACGACAGTGTCTTTGTTTAATATGGCCTGGTGCTATCAATACATTAAGAAAAATGTTTATGAATTGAAACATATAACTAATCACGAGTTTAAAGTTCCCTTGACCAGAATACCCAACAACATCGGATCCTTCCTATACAACTGAACCAATACAACATTTAAAATGAGGACCAACAAAAATCCTATTTTCTTATGCATTACCTTCACTCAAAATGAATATATTTGAAAATTCAAATTACCGGTCCATCGAAAGGCGCATCTTTTCCCCCGCTGGCCCAGATGTTGTGTCCGGTCATGTGACTGTATGCCCATAAGCCTTGGGAGGGTGTTGACCAGGCCAAGACCGGGTGGTCATCTACAGATAGTCTGGTACAGGAGAACATACATGTCCAGATATCTGCTGTCCCAGTTTCAGAACGAAACACTAGATGTTGTTCCTTTAGTTCAACCCGTGAAGAACCAGGTTAGAATTGATCTTCAGGAACGCGTGCTGGTCGTAAGAGGCGATTAACGGGACTCTGACTTGGTGGACACATGTCATCGTACCCCAATTGCAAAGATCGATACCTCCTGCTGTTGATCACTGGATTGCCTGGTCGAGACTCGATTGTTTTAAAGGCCGCCGCTACTTAGCTGGAATATTGCTGACTGCGGCGTTAATTAACAAACAAAACAATAAAAACCTTTTGCCATATATCTTCCCACCTTATGTGACCTGATGTCCAGTCAATGGAGTACGTGTGGTAGCGGTCAGCCCATACTGTTCCAGGGTCACTTACCCTGTTAAACAGAACACAAACATACAAACTCAACTTGCTGAACACACTGAAAAATTGTGGCATGTACAACAATTTGTTCATTTGTAGTCGTCATCCATGATTGTGATCGGACATGGGTTCAGATCCTTTTCCGACCATTTATGGTACATGTAATGCAAGCATCATTGAAGATTGTCATTTAAACCTCGACTGCAATGATTAAGATAGGGTTAGAGCCCACATGAAGCTCGTATTACTAACATAATGTCAAAAGTAGCGTTTAGAAGTACCCACTCATTCATAACGATAACTTGTTATCAGGGTGTCTGAACATTTTCGATTTCCACAGGTGTGTTTGTGTTGGATGGAGCCATGAACATGTACCACGGCAGAAGAAGAACAATCATAATTTACGAAAACGTGACACAAACAATGAACAAACTTGATGAGCAAAGGTAATGTATTATACAGTTGCAGTTGAAGGTCGAGAGTGAAAATGCGCGTAAAACGAGATGTCATAGAATACTGCAGCGTTTTACCAAATCATTATTGATATATATGCTCTGACAGCTTATGTAGAAGTCGCGTCACCTGAGCAAGTCGAAACGTTGAAACGTGAAATGGACCTGATATCATCGAGTTCGAATGGTTTTACGCCGCCTTTCGCAATGTGCAGCAATATCACCATAAGTGGTCTTCACACGTTTTACCTTTGTGGGGAATCGAACACGAACCCTCGGCGTGAAAAGCCAATGCTTTGTCCATACGGCTATAAAACGCCCTTTTGGTGATATGCGTGCCTCAGACTGAACGTGTTCAATACAACATGTACAACACAATTAGTGATATGTGAAGGATAAAAAATAAATAGGACAAAGAAGCTACAAATATACCTTCCATATCCCTTACTATGATGCTGACCGGAAACACCCCAGTGGAGCGAAGACCGGAAGTTCTGGGCGCCATGGTTATTACCACTGCTATCCTTCAGGTTGAGGTTGCCTGTGAACAGTGAGGGGTTTACAAAGAAACACCACTGTGCAGTACTGGAAACTGATGCTTACAATAGGTGTCACGTCAACCTCTTGGACAGTTTCCTTACGGTCACAGCTAGAGGTTTTCTTGCCACCGTAATTACTATCTGAGGCATCAAACTATCTGGAAAGCAATTGGTGCCTGTAAGAATTTTTTCCTTGAAAATTTAACTTTATCATATGGTTAAACGGACACTGTGTGTTCTAAAGACATCAACATAAAACATGTATTAATGTGTGTAGTCTTTGAACCTGTTCAACATATTCTACCAAACAATTGGATCCTTTTTATAGTTAGTATGTTGATGGAAGATAGAGAGTTGCAGTCATATGCAATTTGGAACAACACGTTTAACTGAAAGACTATCAATGCATTTTGTTTCCAGGATCAATCTTTTGGGACAAATCAAATATACCTGTAACTGTTGTCACCTCGCGTTGTAAATTTTAATGCATGAGTGACACCCTAAGCGTTTATTGCAAGGAATATTGATTGTGGATTTGGCCGTGTTGGTGTATCTGTTTCGATTTCGCTTATTGCTAACAATAAGATAATGATCCCCTGGCGTTTACTTGTTGAACAGTTTGGTGGTGTCACATAAGATGTGACGCATATAGGCATGAAGGATCTACATCGTATCTACCTGTCTATTAGGAAATTGAGCAAGAGCCAGTTTGTTATTCTTCTCTGTGACATATTTAGACCCTTCTGTTGCCGTTCATCTAAGTAGTGTTCTGATTGTTAATATGACATGTTGTACCGATAAATGTCCGATTTTACTTTTGAAATGCAAATTATTGCCATAATTCCTTTCATGGTCCAGGACCCTACTGATGTTTAAAACAATGACATGAAAATAAACGGTGCGTCCGTAGCCACATTTAATTCTGGAAACCCCCAAATCCAGAAACTCTCCGCACAAATTTCAGTATGCAGTTATCATGAATATATGCTAAAAAATGAAAAAATTCCAATTTGTTTTTGAAAACTCAAGCTTATGGCCCGGTCCATGGACGAACAGTGGCCATGACCAAATTCATGTTTTGGCGGTTGTAAATGAATGACAGTATGCTTATAAGTATCATGAAACATAACTCATTTTGACTTAATTCGACTAATTTAGAGCCATAATAAAATATATCGCATACCTCGAATATTTACCTTTGCTCAAAATTCATGTTTTGGGGGTTGCAAATTTATGACAGTATGTTTATATGTATCATGAGACAAAATTAATAATGTGAAACTTATCAAAACTAACTGATAGAGTAACAGCATGGAGGCACATCGTGTATATCCAGAGGGAGTTTGACCATAAGTCCTTCAAACATCTATGATTGAAGTAAACATATCAGACTGGAGTCGTAATACTGAAAAGTATAACTTACCTCTAGCCTCCATAATGTCTATCTCGCCGGAAGCTGGCCATCCGCCATATTTCCATGGCCTTTTAGGAGGAAGCATCCATATTGCTTTGGTAAACATTAGATGATTAGTAAAAATGATTAACTAATACACTTACAGTTTTATACCTTAATGAATAGATCAAGCTGTGATGTTTCGTTAGGAGTAGTTTGTTGTGTCAAACAAACATTCACTGTTAGCTTAAACATTGGCATTGATTGTTCAGGGCCCGATTTCTCGAAACAAACTTAATTTTGACTTAAGTAAATTTGAGAAAACGCATTTCCCAGAATGAACTGAAATCGATATTAAACTCAAACATAGTAGACAGTTTGAGTTTGGTGAATAGAATACTTAAGTTGTTTAGGCTTTTTTTATTAAAAAACTGCATCTGAGTTCAAAATTCAGCTGTTTCAAGTAAAAACTTAAATTTGTTTTGAGGGCCATGTCTCGTTTCGAAATTTCGACTCATGAGCTGAACCATGAATGGTTTCTAGTATATACCTTAACTATTAAAGACAACAAAAACCTTTTAAGAGAGTATTTTTTTGTAAACCTTGCATGTGATTATCGGAAACATTTCAGGAAACAATAATGCCATGGAAAATCCAAAATAGTCACCTGGCCATAACCAATCTCCTTTAGGTAACTGTGCAATGACTTCTATTCTTCCGTAGGTGATGGAAGCCTTGGAATAGAGTTTAGATGACATGATAGGTGGGATTTCATTCTTCGATCCCAGACGGTGGCATCCGTTGTCACTGTAATATGTGCACGATCCCCATTGCTCTGGAAATCATATAATTCTGAGACATGCAATGACATGCGATGACAGACTGCAACTGCATCCTATTCCTGTTTACACTTTGTTCAACATTAACAGCCAGCTCTAAACTTTAAGGTAATTTGCAAATTTGCTTTTGGTATTTCATTCTTCGATCCCAGACGCTGGTATCCGTTGTTGCTGTAGCACGTTCCTCATTCCACTGGAAAACAGGAATTTCTGACCTATTCAATGACATAACAATGATCAATGGCTTTCATCCTGCTCCTGTCTACACTTGTTTAAGTTTGTAACAGCCAGCTCTGAACTTTACTGAATCCTTAGATAATTTGCAATTTTGCTTGTGTTAGGTACTGGAGGAGGAACACTATACTTGACGATCCAGATTTTCTAGGTTATTGTATCGTGACGTATTTAAGAAGACATGGTTGGTTCCCCATTGCTCTGTAAATGACAGTTGTTTTCAATCGAGAAAAACAGTGACAACTTACTGGCAACATCAAGATCCCCATGGTAAAGAAAGTTTTCTCCAAATTTGTCTACAGTATATGTCTGAAGAGAAAAATGTTGGAATAATCTCGCAAACATCGTAGAACGTAAGGTGGGTTTGCACACATTACTAATTACGTCTAAATTTAGCCCTGGCATCAACAAATCAAATTTGCCCAAATGTAGCGCTGCTTCTGAAACATTTGTTAAATCCGCCCTGTAGTATGAAAGCAGTATTGCCACAGATACATGGGTTTTGCCCCGATTTTGACAGTCCCAAGTTTGACAGTGAAATTTCTCACTTCTGTAATTAATATAGCCAGTTGTCCTAATTTTGACAGTGAGCTTTGGTACACTTGTTAGCTCTTCTCGTGCCCGTTTTTTCTCATTACTGGTAAGGACATAGGAACCAATAGAGCTTTGGTCAGGTTGATGTGTTCGTTGTTTGTCCCCTCTTCTGCCAACAGTCCCATCTGCTGTTGTAGTGACTGAGGCTGGACACTTTGTTTTCAGGCATTGACATCCCCATGGAATGGTACCATTCTTATTGGCAGTTCGTCTCAGATACCTATATCCATCCAGCAACAACACTGCACCTGGTCTCCTACCATCTTACCTGTACCCGAGACTATGCTTCAAGTTACTATGATGACTGCAGGTGTTTGTATTCTGTCATACGACCTTTCCTGTCGCAAACGAGACTAACATGATCAACCTTACATTATAAACACTTCAGGTTATACATTAAAACAGAAAATAGTTTGGCACAATCATTAATGAAATCCAATTATTACTAAAATGATCGACTACCGGTTTGAGATAGAGGACGCCATTTTTTATGTAGGTGTTGGCAGCTTCCGGTGTGTACATCTGGAACTGACCACCCTGGAATGACACAAAATAACAATAAACTTTATTATCGTAACAAATAATATTGTGTACTGTTTGAATATAATCTGTATTGTTCTAATGTATATTTACACCCGTGAAGATCCGGGCTAGAATTGATCTTCAGTATCCCATGCTTGTCGTAAGAGGCGACTAACGGGATCGAGTGGCCAGGCTCGCTGACTTGGTTGACACATGTCATCGGTTCCAAATTGCGCAGATTGATGCTTATGCTGTTGATCACTGGATTGTCTGGTCAAGACTCGATTAGTTACAGACCGCCGCCAAAAAGCTGGAATGTTGCTGACTGCGTCGTAAAACTAAACTCACTCACTCACTAATGTTTATTTATGGTATCTTCGAGCGAATCTTTACGATACATAACTATGATAACAGCCATCTTTCTTCCGAAATTCTGAACCTTGAGTTTTAAGACCTGTTGTATCACTTGTTTTGAAACTGCGTTTTTCAATATATTTTTTATAATGTATCAGTCTTGACTGGTTATTTTCTAATTTCAGTAAGTTCTTTTGAGGATTACCATCTGGGTTTCAATAAGGAAATCACCCCACAACAGTGGGTCAGGGGCGCTTGGTACCCTTCCTAAAGCGGTGGACCGTCACACTAAATGTTCTACAGCCTCTCAATCAAAATCTCTTGCTACAGTCTCTGCTAAGGCGTGGATAGTGTTAAATGCGGTGTCACCCCTCCACGGGGTTAGGTTTCAGGGGCAATGGGGTAGCCTGGTAGTTAAAGCGTTCGCTCATCACGCCGAATTCGAATCCCCGGGCTCGATTCCCCTACAATGTGTGAAGCCCTTTTCTGAGTGTCCACCGCCGTGATATTGCTGGAGTATTGCTACAAGCGACGTAAAACCAAACTCACTCACTCACTCACTCACTATTAGGTTTGAGGTCTGGTAGGTAAAGCAGTGATACACTGGTGGCAAAACTTACCCCTCCTCCAAAGCAAGTTATTTCATGTCTCCATTTGTTGCTGTCGAGATGATTAGTGTGAAAATCGTCGTAAAGAACGGTTGTTCCACGTCTGTACAATCGAGGGCTGAGCGATGAAGCAGCTAATGTCGGTATATGAAACAGAATTATGAAATGTGTGAATGTGAGAGAGGGACATTTCGTCACATTATATTCATGACACATAAAATTAGATAAAAATATAAACAAAGTCGACAAAAGACAGTAACAACAAAAATATCACATATAAAAAATTTAAAAAGCACGTAATCCTAAAATTATTTCACTATTGGTTTTGTATTTGTTTGTTGTTTTACGCCACTCTCAGCACTGTTCCAGCGAGAAAAAGGTAGTCTGTAAATAATCGTTCCTGGACCAGACAATACATTGACTGGCATCACGAGCATCGATCTACGAAGTTGGGATACAATGAAATCTGTCAAGCAATTCAATAGCCTGACGCCTCATAGGACAAGCATGGGCTACTGAAGACCAATTTTAACCCAAGTCATGGTATCCCAGTTGCATGTATCGATATTCACGTGGCTTGTCTGATTGCTTACAGACCGCCGACATATAGCTGGAATATTGCTGAGTGCGGCGTTAAGCAGCAAACCAACCAACAAATATGTGAGAGTGAGTGAGTGGTTTAACCCTGTTTAACGCAACAATACGTGGACATTAGAAATGGGCTTCATACATTGTACCCATTTGGAGAATCGAACCCGGGTCTTCAGCAAGCGAACGCTTTCACCACTTCACTACCTCATCGTACCGACATTAATTGAGAAGAATCTGAGATATGAAAGATATGAACATACCCGCTGAGTATCACAGATCCTTAGATTATGCCCTATCGCAATTTATATTAGAGAATTTGAAATGTTATCAAATAACAATATTACTTAATACGGGGTGTTTTAAATCAATATTAACTACCCTTTTAAAAAAAATTGTTTTGATATATGATATTGACCATTTAATGTTACAAATGTACCACCGATTTACATATGTGTAATATAACATATAATGTATACATCATTATGTTGATGCAGAATATGCATATGTATCCCCCTTCCAAATAGCAACAACAAACGAACACTAAAACAACATAAAACCAACCAAAACCAAAAACGTTAATATGTGATAATATTTATATGATTATTTATGAATAATGCAGTTCAACCATTTTTCAACCATTGTTGTACGGTACAATAAGTACCGTACGCGTGCTTGAAACACTAAATCCTTGCCTATGAACCATGGGTGTACATACCTGGGATGTAGTATACATCATTAAGTTGACCAATAACATCTCCAGTGGCAGATAAGTACTTAACCGAATAGTCCAACACATCATTGTCAGTGAATTCCCTCTTGCTTTGAATCCGGTAGGTGAAATATCCATCACCTGAAAAAAATGGAGATACCATCAAAGCAGTCACTAAACATTTTCCACGAGAAAAGTGACAGATGTGCACTGGAATCTTGCAAAGGCTATGATGTTCTTGTGTCACAAGCAAAACTATCTTATCTCACATTGAGAACACAATTTATGACCTTGTAAATGTGTCTTCTGCGAGGACCAAAATCTTCCTTTGGCATTCAGGATAAAAACGCTTTTGAATAAATCAGAACCTTAAACTTCAGATGTAAATACCATTTCTACTCCTTATCACAGAACGATTTCAGTTGCAAACTCAAAACCTTGAAGAAAACCTCCCTTTGGCATTCAACACAAAGACGTTGTGTATAAATCAGAAGATTAATCCTCAGATGTAAATCCTTTCTTCTCCTTATTACAGAAAGGTTTCAGTTGCAAACTCATGGACCAACCACCTCCCTTTGGCATTCAACACAAAGATGTTTCTGTATACATCAGAAGATTAAACCTCAGATGTAAATCCTTCCTTCTCCTTATTACAGAAAGGTTTCAGATGCAAACTCATGGACCAAAACCTTCCTTTGGCAAACAGAATAGAAGCAACAAATTACTAATTGTTTTACATCGTTCTACAGGAATTTGTCTTTGTGACAGAATAATGGAAAGACCAAGGATCAGAAGTTTCAGAAACAACTCGGGTCTTTACAATGTGTATTTGTACACGAATACCCATGCAACAGCTACACGCGATTAACAGTTAGTATTGTCATATCAACCAAGACAATGTAATAAGCACAATATATTGTCAGACGTTTATAGTCACCTTGTTTATGCAGTCTGACGCTGTTGGTCAAGTGAGAAGCCTGAACATGTTGTTTCAGAAGATGGAGTGTATACGAGAGGTCAATCGTATCAACACCAGCCACATCTGCCAAAATAGAAGCTCACAATACATGTTATTTGTTTTCGAAAACCAATTTGTATGTGATTCAGATAAAGTTGAACAATCGTTAATTGTGATGTTACATTGGAGAAGTAACGTGAGAATGGACGTCATGGGCTGGTGTAGGTGGTAAAAGTATTGATTGATGCAGACCGTAAAGTGTTTGTGAACAAAGTAATACATGTTCAATTGGGTATTGATTAAGTGATCGAGTTTAGTTTTACGCTACTTTAGCAATACTCCAGCAATATCACGGCGGGGGGACACCAGAAATGGGCTTCACACATTTTGCCCATATGGTAAGGTGAGGTGAAATGGGGTTTAACGTCGTACCTAAGACTATTTCGCTCATATGACGACATGCATGCGTGTGTATGTGTGGCTGCTTGTACTAGCCCACCAGCAGACTTAAGCTGGTTTTATAGTGCTAGCTCACTGAAATACCATGCCGCAGTTAAGCATGACTCCGAGCCGACCAGTCCTTGTTGTACCCATTAATGCCGAGCGCCAGGCAGGGACCAACAAGTACCATATTTTAACGTATTTTGGTATGACGCGGCCGGGGATCGACCTCCCGCTCTCCGGGCGGACGCTCTAACCACTACACCATAGGGGCGTCTCTCTCTTAGAAACAGCGTTAGAAAGACTAATAGGTGTATATAAAAGGAAAGGGATGTAACGACAAAACCAACCTCACCACGTAAAATATTTTTAAGGCCCCGCCGAGGCCTACGAATCGAAAGCTAGATTGTCACAATCGGATCATTATTTCAAAGTTATACGCCACAACTCACCAAAAACAGCTACCTCCACAATTCCTAGCCAAAATCATGTATCAGCCAAGACAGCGAAAAGTCAACTTTTAAATTCGTTTATTAATTCCAGCCACGTTGACAGCACCTATGTAGCGCTAGATTCGATCGGCAGCCATATTCCACGGGTCTAAAAACTGATTGAACATCTACATATCATTTCCTCGACAGTAAGCAGGCATTTTCTATAACATGATCGGCAATTTTTGCTCATTTTGTAGGGAAATCATCTAGCTTTCCATTCGTAGGCCTCGGCGGGGCCTTAAAAACATTTTACGTGGTGAAATCTAATTTTGATTGAGGAGAGGGTGGTTTTGTCGTTACATCCCTTTCCTTTCATATAGTAATAGGGTAGGGTCTATACACCTATGTGTCTTTCTAATGCTGTTTCTATGCGAGACACGGCCCTATGCACTACACTACGGAGGCGGCCCTGTACTCATATTGAAATCGAACCCAAGTCATCGGCGTGACCACTAGGCTATCGCGTTTTGATTAAGAGTGAGTGAGTGAGTGAGTTTGGTTTTACGCCGCTTTTAGCAATATTCCAGCAATATCACGGCGGGGGACACCAGAAATGGGCTTCACACATTGTACCCATGTGGGGAATCGAACCCGGGTCTTCGGCGTGACGAGCCAACGCTTTAACTACTAGGCTACCCCACCGCCCCTTTTGATTGAGAAGTACATGTAGTTATAGTGTACATGGGCGTACATCACTGACATGAAACAACAACGCCGCGAGTTATCGTGCCCCATTTAATATAAGAACAGCGGTTTAAAGAACCAATGCCATCCATCAACCATGACAGCGAGCCTGATCCTGATAGTCACCGCCTACAACAAGCATGGGTTGCTGAAGATTAATTGTAACCCCACTGGATAAGTATTCCGTCTACAATGGGTAAAAGACCTACACATAGTTATGCATTAGGAACAACATAGCACAGTGATCTGCGGCGCTCTAGACAACCGGGCAACCACTGACACTGAAATTACTAGGGCTGCGCAATATAACCGGCTTACCGGTATTTACCTGTTCAGACATGAAAACGATACGTATTGCGATACGCTGATCGAAAACCGGTATTTTGACATTCGGAAAACTTCGTAACACTCGGAAATCTTAAGATATTTCCTTTTTTCATTTGTGCCAAATATTATTCACATTTTTATTCTTAATCATGAATAAAAGTTGTTATTAAAGCTTAATCAAGCATAGTGATTTTGCTGTGTATTTGCTCTATAAATCAAGCATTACCTCGATTATAAGTAGTTTTTTGTATAAAAATACTTCACGCAATACATGCTTTCGCATCACAATATATCGCAATATGAAAATTCTCTACAATACCCACCCCTAGAAATTTCTATGTGGAATAATCGTATGTTTTACACTTACAGGGAAAAGACAGGGTTATTTCGGTCTTCTCTGTGTTGTGCTTGACAGCTGGCTGTAGAGACGCATAACAAAGCCCGACCAGCAGTGGAGTAAAGAAGTAAACGTTGATGACCATTCTGGTTAACATTGAGGCCGCTGTTGGCCACCTCCGAGACAGTGTCAGTGACAAGATTGTGAGCCCACAGGAATAATATCAGTACTGTGTGACACAATCGCGTCAGATTCCTATCTTATCGGTCTAATTACAGAGCTAACTGCTGTGCATATCCTACATGTAGGGACGGTGGGGTAGCCTAGTGGCTAAAGCGTCCGTTCATTACGCCTAGGCCCGGGTTCGATTTCCAAAATGGGTACAATTTTTGAAGCCAATTTCAGGTGTCCACCGCCGTGATACTGCTGGAATATTGCTGAAAGTGGCGTAAAGTGCAATGAAATTGCAGTGGACTTATTAAGAAATTTGACTATAAGTTCAAGATCATAAACCATCAGAAATGTTTCTCCAAGAGACGTATCTTATAATACAAATACATTTGAACAGAGGCAGTACACACGCCAACATGATATTATGTTCCCCTGTGGGTTATAAAGCATACGGAGGCGCTACTATTTCAATTAGACACGATGTCATTCATAGTGCGTACATCTCAATACTAATTTTCAAGCCGTTGCTGTTCGCTTAACTTTGCATATTGCATTAACTGAGTGCCCTTTATATATTCCACCTTCATATGCCCTTCGTCAATCTGAACCTCCGAATCTGTATGATAAGCTTCTTAATCCCTGAATAACTACGGGCGATTTGAATGGGTATAACCCTCTATGGGTGAAATACGAGCAGAAACAGTAAGGTCAAAGTTATTGAAAAGTTTTATTTCTGATAACAGTTTATGTTTTTTTATAATGATGATTCAAACACGTATTAACATTCAATCACTGGAACATATCCTGTCCTCGATCTGTCCCTTGCAGACACAACCCATAAAGAGAATGGATCTCCAGTAGCCCATGCTTGTCGTAAGAGGCGACTAACGGGATCGGGTGGTCAGGCTCGCTGACTTGGTTGACACATGTCATCGTATCCCAGTTGCGTAGATCGATGCTCATGCTGTTGGTCACTGGATTGTCTGGTCCAGTGATTATAGTTTTGCACCACTTTTAGCAGTATTCCAGCAACAGCACGGCGGAGGACACCAGAAATGGGCTTTACACATTGTACCCATGTGGGGAATCGAACTCTGGTCTCCGACGTGAAGAGCAAACACTTAAACCACAGGGCTACCCTACCACCACAACAGGATTTGAACGAGTGATCATATTCTTTTGGCATGCCTAACTGACACAACTCAAGGGCTCTCAGACTACATCGTCACCCGTCCTGATTCATATCCATTATAGAAAAGTCCATTCAGTCTCATACACGGCGCCACTTTGCCAACAAGAAGGTAATCAAACATCCAGACATGAGAAGTATTAATGTTCTGGTGCTCATAGTGTCGTCATGAACACGTACTACTTCCGAGCCACTTTTGATTTCTCCAAGTACTGTTTTATGATTCCGTTTTGGAAAGCGAGGTACTGGAAGTGGCATAAATTTAAGTGATTCTATGGTCAGCCTCCTCCTCATCAACCCCCGCATTGATTCCAGATCGGGTGGTTTGCTACCATAATTGCCTTCCTCCTGAAATAGTACGTCAACAGAAACATAGGAAGTGATCTTGTTCAAAGAAGACTGGAACTCTTCCAGAGCCCGCTGTGACTGTTGCAACTCGGACAGGACAGTGTTGAGTTGGGCCATGTTATCTTTATGTGCTCTGGTGGCCAGCTGCTCAAGGGGTGCGTAATGGTCCTCAACTAAACTAATCCATGTACTTTTCTGGGTATCAAGAGCAAACGCAACTGCTGAATAGTTGTCCAACGCTTTCTGTTTCTGGTCATGTATCCGAGACAATGAACTGTAAACGCCCTTCAAAAGAGGCTGCACTTCAGCCAAGTAATCTGTAGCTTTGTTCTGTATGCGCGGAATGGCATCTTTCAAGGGGAATTTAGATTGACACCGTTTATGTCTCATTGCAATGCATTCAACACATTCAAGTTTGCTGCAGGTGAAGCAAAACATACTTTTGATTGCATTGTGTAGGGAACACGTGCTGACTGGGCGATCTGTGATCATCAACTTCATCTTTTGCTTCTCATGAACAATACCCTGGAGAATCTCATCAGTACGGAAGCGCGATGCATAGTCTCTGCTTCCAGGTGCACTCTTGGGGATTTTGAACGGCTGGTTGCATAAAGGACAAGGGGCTGTAGTTGCTTTCGGTCTAGACCCGATAAATTGGTTTAGGCATGATTTGCAGATCCGATGTGTACAAGGTAACATTTTGGGGTCTCCGAAGACCTCGGTACATATTGGACACTGTAGATCTTCCTCTGCTATTCCACCTGTAGCCATAGTTCACTGCAACATGTAAATATATAACGTAAAACGTCTGAGTAAGGGTGATCCTGACAAGAAAACTGGGGCCGGTGGGTTAGACTAGTGGTTAAAGCGTCCCTCCATTTCACCCAGCCCATTTCTGGTGTCCTCCGTCGTGATATTGCTGGAATAGTGCTAAAGCGGCGTAAAACCATACTCACACACTCCATTTCACCCCTTCTCAGTCAGAAACTGATCGAAGCGTCGATGCATAGACCATATCGCAAGAGTTATCTACCCTTGAATCGGTCCACCCGAATCGGGGAACTCGGGAAGCGACAGTGGATTTGCCAGTCGAGCATCAAAGCGTGAATGGAATTTTATAGAAAAGGCGGGATGCATGTTCCATTCTGATTTTACTATACGAGGCGTTTAATCGAGTTATTTTGTTGAAAACGTGCCTCGAATTCGTCCCTTTAAACCATTCTACGGAAGTATATACCCCAGCCTTACCCAGTAACACACTCAGATAACAACCACGGTCACTCATAAGGTGAATGCTCGACGTTCAGTAACATGCAGTGGTTGCATGTTTGTGTCGTGAGGCTTGGCAACCGCCATTGAGTCACCCGTTCATGTACAACCCCAGGTCGGATAATGTACCCCAACCCGTATTCATCCTGGATTCAGTTCTGACAGATCTGTATGTGACGTACGGGGCGTACGGGTGACCTCAACTAACGGTAAAACCACCACTGCATAGTATTCGAGCATTCGTATTCAACTTGCTTACCGTTTGTGTACTCCTCGTTGACAAAGATATCGTTCCCGGGTAATAGCTGTGACGTTGAACAAATTTGCAAAGGGAAGTAGCTCTGCCCCCAGGTTAGGCTTATCGTTAAGGAAGCGTAATAAAATACACTCTTCGCCTTGAGTGTAGGGATTGTACAATTTGTTAGCACACGAATTTTGAAAGAGACATATATTAACCCTTTTAATAGGTAACAATGCCGAATGTATTTATCTTGTCAGGTGATATGGAGATATTTTTATAAATTTGATGAAGGAAATCTGGCGAATTTGAGGAATGCGAATCTGGTAATTTTTACAGAGTACAGATAATGTTGTCAGCTGCAGCTGTAAAAGCTGATAATTCATTAAAAGGATGAGCTTATTTATAAATAAAATTAACTGGTTTTCGTAGTTTCAGTCCAATATTGTTAATCAGCATGACAGTAAATAATTAATTCATGCATTATATTAGACAATATGTACTTTTCGATTATATCCCTTGGTCCATATTTATATAGACGAGCGAATACATATAATTTTGATAGTTAGGAGATAAACATATTGTGTCTAGAAATCTGAGGTATATAACGAAATTATAAAAGCGTGAGGTTTTAAATAAAAACTGTACAGCTATTATAATTTCGTTATATACCTCTGATTTTCAAACACAGTATGTTTATTTCCATTCTACCATAAACGCGCTATTGAGATTTTCAAAAAATACTTACTGTGTTGGAAAATCAGAAGCATTGAACGTGGGTATGTACCTCTGAATGGCTTTAATTAATCACTCACAATCCAGTATTTACTGAAATCATGGTAGAATAACGAATAAACTCATTTAAACTAAAAAGGAGCCCCAGTAAGATGGGACATTCAGAATCTGAACCTGAGGAAATCTAGACTTGCTTCATTCAGGGTTTTAGCATTGCAGGGAGGGTTAGGCAGAAGTGAAAATAATGTGGTTCAGGGATTATGAGACAGACTAATGTTTATATTGCAAGGAAGATGCGGGTAGCCCAGTGGTTTAAGCGTTCACCCGTCACGCCGAAGACCAACGTTCAATTCCCACTTTAGTACAATGTGTAAGGCCAATTCCTAGGCTCGCTGACTTGGTCGACATATATCATCGTATCCCAAATGCGGAGATCGATGATCATGCTGTTGCAATTGATCACTGGATTGTCTGGTCCAGACTCGATTATTTACGGACCGTCGCCACATAGCTGGAATATTGCCGAGTGCGGATTTAAACCACAAACCAAACCAACCTAATGTCCACCGCCGTGGTATTGCTGGAATATTGTTAAAACTGACTGACTGAGTTTGGTTTTACGCCGCTTTTAGCAATATTCCAGCAACATCACGGCGGGGAACACCAGAAATGGGCTTCACACATTGTACCCATGTGGGGATTCGAACCCGGGTCTTCGGCGTGACGAGCCAACGCTTTAACCATTAGGCTACCCCACCGCCCCTGTTAAAAGCGATATAAAAGTATACTCACTCACTCATAACATCCAAAGCACCAGTCAGCAACGCCGCCATTTTCGCTCACTTCATGAGTGAGTGAGTTTATTTTTTACGCCGCTTTTAGCAATATTCCAACAATATCGATGTGGGGGACAAGAGAATCGCTCACTTCAAAGGGTTGAGATCATGATGTTCCAAGCTTTCGCTCTACACTCCGAGCACCCGGGTTCGATTCCCCACATGGGTACAATGTGTGAAGCCCATTTCTGGTGTCCCCCGTACGATATTGCTGGAAAAAGCGGCGGAAAAATAAACTCACTCATTCACACTTCACAATGTTCCATGTGATATGTTCAACCTGACAGAAAAGACGACTTCAAAAAGGTGTTTGCTGCACACGATATGAACGCGGTTGCCAGGATTAGAACAATAGTTATCAAATGGGCCATAAAATATCACAGTGTGCTTGTCAGCACGTGCACAGGCAACGCGAGGTTTTTTTAACCCAGGGAGGCGAACAAAGTCGAAGTGTCTTGACCCAGTAAATATTCAGACAATGCGGAGGTTTGTTGGGCGCTCGGATGATGAACCGATCCAACTGATCTATATAGAAACTGCGTTAACAGCCATGCCAGATTGTCTTACGTAGAAACGTGATGGAAAGTTACAACAATATCGGTCGTGTTTTGATAGCGATTTACAATGGTGCTCTTTTCCCAGCCCGTTGCTTGTCACATATGGAAAACCCTAAACGCTGTGGGTGTCCCTTGACTGTGACTGGAGTGAGTGAGTTTGGTTTTACGTCACTTTTAGCAATATTCCAGCAATACCACGTCGGAGGATACCAGAAATGGGCTTCACACATTGTACCCATGTAATGAATCGAACCCGGGTCTTGGGCATGGCGAGCGAACGCTTTAACCACTACGCTACCCTACCGCCCCTTGTGACTGGATGGGGTATTTCTGTTTTTAAGCTTTCACCGTTCACACCTAAGACATCTGTTTCATTCCCGAGATTGGCGATATATGTTCAAGATATTTTGGTGTCCACCTCTATAAGGTTGGTAGATTATCACAAAAAGAGAGGTGAAATTTTAATCTCTCATCCTTGAAGATCCTGGTTAGAATTGGTCTTCAGCACCCCATGCTTGCCGTAAGAGGCGACTGACGGTATTGGGTGGTCAGGCTCGCTGACTTGGTGCACACATGTCATCGTATCTCAGTTGAGAAGATAGATGCTTATGCTGTTAATAACTGGATTGTCTGTTTCAGACTGAGTATTTACAGACCGCCGTAGGAATATTGAGGAGTGCGGCTTTTAACAACAAACAATCATTCACATTTCATCTCTCATTTTCATGCTGAGAGTGTAAGGCGTATACTTCAGCGTGTGAGTGAGTGAGTTTAGTTTTACGCCGCACTCCGCAATATCCCAGCTATATGGCGGTAGCCCGTAAATAATCGAGTCTGGACCAGATAATCCAGTGACCAACAGCATGAGCATCGATCTGCGCAATTGGGAACTGATGACATGTGTCAACCAAGTCAGAGAAACTGACCACCCGATCCCGTTAGTCGCCTCTTACGACAAGCATAGTCGCCTTTTGTGGCAAGCACATGGGTTGCTGAAGACCTATTCTATCCCGGATCTTCACGGGTCGCGTATACTTCGGCGTGTGGTCTTGTGCATAGAGTTCAGGTCACGATCAGGTGAAGTTAAGCAACGTTGTGCGCGGAGAGTCAATGGATGGGTGACCGTGTTTGGCAACTTGACTCCTGAGAGTGTCTCACAACGAAGCACATGAGATATGCAATCCCACCTTAGGCAAGTGAGCGAGTTCAAAATTGTCTCTGTTCACCCAGCAGAACATGGGTACCCGGTGGGATAAAGCATGCAACCACTAACCTTCTGGAACAGGCAGCTTGGTTTATCCGGGGTAATAATAATCAGATTGTTTGGGCGCTTTGAGCATGCATTGTGCTTGGAGAAATGCACTTGTTGATAAATGGTATTATTATCACTATTATCATTATAACTTTCTTTTGCATGGTGTTACAACGTTAAATCCAATCCCTGCACACAGAGAGGACCGCAGCCAATTAATGACACACTACATACTTGGAGCAACCTTTTATTTATTCTCTTTTTTTCCAATTTATGATATTATTGTTAGATGAGGTTATTGACTTTTTAGCATTATCTGTTTGTTTAAATTGTTCTTTAACACCACACTCAGCAATATTCCATCCACACGCTTGTTCATTTATTAGAGACACCTGCCAAGCCAGACAAGTTTGAAGCCAAATTAGGACGATCTTAGTCACGTTTCCATGCACGATTCAAATAACCCGAAATTCATTCATATATAGTGGTCACAAAAAAATGCTTGATCTTTAATTTTAAATTCTAAATTCGTAAAAGTGTAAGTATATCAGTGATAATCTTCAAGACGGTTCAATCTGCATTTTGTAACGTCAGCTTCAATGATGCTTCTATTTAATGGAGTTCGAGTTAAGAGGTATTATATTCTAAGCCAGCTAGGCACGTAATCTCATCTAACACACACATCTACAGTGTCGGCCTGAAGAAGTGTTTGTTTAAATCCGCCTTCAGCAATATTACATATATACGACGGTGGTTCGTAAATAATTGATTCTGCGATTGACATCATGAGCATCGATCTACGCAACTTGGACACGATGACATGCATCAACCAAGTCTGACCACCCGATTTCGTTAGTTGCCTCTTACGACAAACATGGGTTGTTGAAAATGTTCACGGGTCGGGAGTGAGTGAGTGAGTGACTGAGTGAGTGGTTTTACGCCGCTTTTAGCAATATTCCAGCAATATCACGGCGGGGGATACCAGAAATGGGCTTCACTCATTGTACCCACGTGGGGATTCAAACCCGGGTCTTCGGCGTGACGAACCAACGCTTTAACCACTAGAATACCCCACCGCCCCGGGAGTGAGTGGTCTAACCGTTTCAATGACAATGTAATAATTACTATCACGGCATGTCAGCTGATTGAAGTCAAAGACGTTCAGCACAGCTATACTGCTGACACACCTAAAATGATAATCAAGGCGAATCTGGGGTTCCTATCCACAATGACAGCATTCTGGCACGGCTAAGGGAGGTAATTCTGTGTCGTGAATTCCAACGCTTAGGACGACATGGTCACCTATAGTCCACTAAGATGTATACTACTCAAAGGAGTTAAAGAACAACCACCTCTTTCAATTCGCCCGCCGTGATGTTTGCTGGAATATTGCATGCATGACAGTCATTCTTTCAATTCACATTTTGCCATGCCTGACAGAAGGTTACTGTCATGTGACAAAGGTGGTTCTGGTTCTTTGCCATGCCGGATGAAATATATATCTAAATGAAAGAATCCGGGTGTTGTTTGATTTCTTTTGAGTAGTATCTACAGGTCGGCTTTTCAAATCGAACTGACATTTTACATAACAACATTTGCTTCATTACATCAACATCGAAAGATATACAAACGCCATCTTATGATATAAATTTCGATGTTGTTTTCGGATACCATACCCGTCTACAAAACAATATTGAAACATAATAAATTTAAGAAAGATGATTATTTTAGTTGTACATGTATTTTAATACTGCCTGACGAATAACACTTTCGGACATCAAAGTTGCTACCCTCTCAGTATAATTACTGAACAGTTAATCTCTTGGTTTACGAACATTGACTGTTGGAGCGTTGACGTCTTCATTCCTATCTTGGTAACCCGTAACACTCGGCAATCTTCATGGATGAATGTGCACAAATGCATTTGTATATGAAACCATGATAAGGCCTTTACTCGAAAAATACTGGTCCCTTTCTTTGGAAATTCAGTTTGGAAACTCAATAGACACTGTTCAATTAAAGACGTCTTATCCTTCTATTGAATAGTGTCCCTAGGCTATGGATGTACTTCACGCCGAAGACCAAATTCCCATGTTTGTGATTTTCTGGTGTTCCCCGCCAACATTCTGGGTCAAAAGCGGCGTATTTTTCAGTATAAGCCATTTGTCATGGAATATCCAACAAATCCAAAAAAGCAGTGAAAAGTGCACATTCGTCAATTTGATTGATGCAGGGGTTATCGTCAGAATAACCTGTTGACGGATCATGGAGTCATGGATATGTTCTTCTGTATGTATCAAGACTCTTACGAATGTACCCTGAAGGAGGAGTTTCCGAAGTAACGGAGTTTCACGTTACATCATGAGCAACCTGAGAAGCAGCAATGACGTGTCATACAGAAAGTATATGTCATACAGCATGGGCGTGTTATGCAACAAGGACGTGTCATACAGCAAGGACGCATCATACAACATGGACGTGTCATACAGCGACGTGTCACACAGCAAGGACGTGTCATACAGCATGGACGTGTCAAACAGCAACCTGTCCTGCAGCACGGACGTGTCCTACAGCACGAACGTGTCATACAGCGACGTGTCATACAGCACGGACGTGTGATACAGCCTGGACGTGTCATACAGCGTCATGCCATACAGCACGGACGTGTCATAAACACGGACGGGTCATACAGCATAGACGTGTTGTACAGCACTGACGTGTCATACAGCATAGACGTGTTGTACAGCACAGACGTGTCATGCAGCAAGGACGTGTCATACAGGGACCTGTCATACAGCACGGACGTGTCATACAGCGACGTGTCATATAGCAAGGACGTGCCATACAGCAAGGAGTGTCATACAGCATCGACGTGTCAAACAACATAGACGTGTCATGCAACCTGGACGTGTCATACAGCCTGGACGTGTCATACAGCGTCATGCCATACAGCAAGGATGTGTCATAGAGCGGGGTATCATAAAGCACGGACGTGTCATAAACATGGACTTGTCATACAACATAGACGTGTCGTACATCACGGACGTGTCATACAGCATGAACGTGTCGTAGAGCACGGACGTGTCATGCAGCAAGGACGTGTCATACAGCACGAACGTGTCATAGAGCGGCGTATCATACAGCACGGACGTGTCAAACTGCAAGGGCGTATAATACAACATGGACATGTCATACAGCCTGGACGTGCCATGCAGCCTGGACGTTTCATACAACATGGTAGCAGAACAACACAAGGGGCCAAAGTCACTTTTTTAACTGAATACAGTAAACATGTCCAAATGGAACAACGATGCCATTATGATCAGTCTACCCATCTAATGCATTTTTATTTTCTGAGATCTCAAATTGGTTTCAGTTTGTATGAAAAATATATTATATACTGCAAGTGAAGTTCTAATGTCATCACAATGCTGAAAGAAAAAAAAGTAAAATGCGCCTTTTTTAAACATTTTAGTCCATCTGTATATTTCAGTCTAAAATACCCCCAAAAGAAACTGAAGTAAGATACATAATCAGGTGATCCATGTCTGCGTTGACATTTGTTTCCATGCAACAAGGACGTGTCATACAGCGTCCTGTCATACAGCAAGAACGTGTCACACAGCGACGTGTCAAACAGCAAGGACGTGTCCTACAGCATGGACCTGTCAT